AAGGTTCCGAATTTTGACTTTTAAATGTAAAAAATCAGTTAACCTTTTTTTATTTTTTCAGTGGCCCTAATCCTCTTCCGTAGAAATAAAATAAACAAATAAATAAATAAATAAATAAATAAATAAATAAATAAATAAATAAATAAATAAATAAAATAAAAAATAAAACTTGGTGGAAGTTCCGGGTGTTTCTGTTGTTGAAGCTCCGCCTCCTGGGTTTCCGTAGCCAATCAAATTTCGATAGGAGGGCATTTAGCATTAGCCGCGAACCCTTAATTTTTTCTCGTCAGTGTTGTTATATAAAATACCGCAAATGAAAGTGTTTCTTGTGACGATAAAATAAAATGAGCACAGAGCAGAATGTTGAGCGTGAAAGTAATGTGTCAACCCTGGAGGTAAACGATCGAAAGGAAGAAGCTTTTAAAAGGTAACGGACATATAGCTTAGCTCTGAAGGTGGCTAACAGCTAACTTTGCTAATGCTTCCTGCAGGAAGGGGGCTCTCTTGTCAAAATAAAAATCAGAAATTAAGATTTGTGGATTTTTTAAATTAAAACTGTTGACACCGATACTGACATTTGAACAGAGTTTAGAAAATGTTATTTTATATCAAACAATTGTTGGTGAAAAATACACATTATTTACTATTTTTATCCTATTTAAATCTAGAACTCCATTCTCAAAGTTTAAGAGAGTAAATTCCCGCTTCAAATCACCTGTAAGTAGCCTTCTCTCTTTTACACTAACGCTGTAGTAGGTTTATGTTTTTTCTGCTCCACATATTTTGTGTTTTCATGGTTTTGGGGTTTCAACCTCACAGCTTCAAGTTGCTGAAAGGCCCACAGTGAGTCCAGAAGAGGAGGTGGCAGAGCTACAGAGGAAGAAAGAGCAGCTGGAATCAGAAATAGCACGGCTGGAAAAAGAGTGAGTACAGCTGTGTTTGCTTTACTGTACTTTATACATGTTAGGTTCAACCTTAGTGGGTTTCTGAGACATAAAATAAGTATGTAAATACCTCCTTATATTTTTGCAATCTACATTATCAACAGTTGAGTGTTTCTCTGTATTAATAGAAATAATCCCATAAAACTACGCTTGTTGACAACTAAAACTGTGTGTTTTTGCAGGGGATATAGAGTTGAAGAGTTGGATCAACATATTGATAAGCTGCATGAATACAATGACATCAAAGACATTGGACAGTCGCTTTTGGGCCGAATAGGTAAGAAATGTATTTTTATCTATTCTTTTTTAAAAATTATTTCTTTTAGGTAAGTGATTAGTTGGGATCAATACATTTTAAAGGAATTTATAGCCCCATTTACACTATTCTTTTGAAACCATGCAGAGATCGGTCCAAGCATAGTAACCGAGATAATTGTTGAGTTTAAATGGCGTTCAAAACTAAACCAGACCATGTCAGACACAACAGAACCGTGCTAAATTGGAACTACTTCATCAGTAGGGTCGGCATGGTTAAGTTGAGGCTCTGTTCTTTGATAACAAAGAGTGCATGAGCAGACCGCGTCATCTCCTTACAGCCTCCGTAATCGTGATATTTCAGACAATCATAAAAATGCTAGCTTTCCTTCCGTGCCATTGGATTTCTGGTGATGATTCTGCTTAGCAGTGTGATGAACCTCAATGTCTTTCCTTGTTTCCTGCATCTGTAAGCCCTGATTAGACTATTTTTTGTCGTATCCGCTTCCCAAAAGTCGACTCTTTCAAGTTAATTCACCAAAGGCACCTGACTGTCTGCAAACAATGAAATATCACAACTAAGCTCGGTACGGTTAAATGATCCAAGCTCGGTCCGAACTCGGAATGGATTGGTTTTCTGGGAGTAGTGTAAATGGGGCTCATATAGATCAAATGTACCTTTGAAAGCAGCTGTTTACTTAGACTGAAAAGAAGCTTTTTTTTAACTTCGCTATCCAATATTAAATCAGAATATTTTTTGTGTATTTTAAGTCTGTTAGGTTGACCAAATTGAATTATTCTATACTAAAATTGATGGGTCTTTGACTCATTCCTCCTGAAAAGGTTTATATAAATCATGTTTTGTGCTGCAAAACAGTTCAGTTCTTCTTTATTCCATTTGTCATTACTTACAACAAATTTAAAAGTTTATCAAGGCTAAGGTTGTTCTCCCTTTAATAAATTGGGGAAGGCCCAGGTTATTATGCCATGCCTTTGTAATCTTCTGTTTTGTCTGTTAATTCACAACATTGGAAGTAAATGGAAGCATAAGATGACTTTCAAACCCACTCTTTTCCTTCTATCTCTTAGAATTGAAGCAGTTGAACAGTTAACGTTTATTTGCATACTATAATCATACTATAAAATACCTGAAGCCTCCAAGACCAATCAGGGTTTCTAGTTCAAGCCTATTTATACTGCCAGAACTAGAACCAAACATGGAGAAGTCACATTTAGTTTCTATGCTCCAGGTATCTTAGGCAAACTTCCAGAAGACTGTAAAGGTATGTTCATACCAAACTTGAATATCGCACCCGGAACAAAGGATTCCAATGTTATGTCTCTGTATAGGGCAGATCTGGAGCGAGGCAAAGCCTAGCAAGGCAAAAGTGACAGTTCACGGGAAGTGAATGGTGCTATGTGGTTATTTAATTTCCCCCTTGCCTGTGATTGAAGTTGAAAAATCTAAACTTTTACATTCGTGTCGCTAATTCCAGTCAGAGATTAGATGGGGCTGTGTGCTCTCCAACCTTCTCAGAGCACAAGTGCACTGCTCTAACCACTAGACCACCACTCCTCCATAAACAGATATGTTTCAGTCGCCCAATGTATGTCTAAAAAAAAAACTTTCAGTCTAAATATAGCAACCAATGACTATCATTGATTTGGCATGTTATTAATCCAATGCCATATCATTTAGACTTAGAAAATATTTACGCACAATAGTGTATATTCAGAATATATTCAGACATGGGACATTTTGAACGTGGAGTCTTCTCTTGAAGCTAAAGTTTGTTGGTGTTTTATATATAATATAGAGACAAATTGCAATAGCAGCTGGTCGTATTCTAGCCGATATTCTTAGTCCTATGCAAAAAGTCGCTTTTAACCTGAGGGGGTTGCCAAACAAGCACCAAAAAAATACACACTGGTTACAAAAGACAACAAACGAGCAGTAAATTGTCAAAATGATTCATGCAGAATGAACAAACCACTACTAGACATCTATTTATACGGTTTATCAGCAAACATAACATTTAGATTAAGAAATAAGTAGCCCTTCCCCAGTAGTTTCTATATGTAATGGCCATAGTCTGCTAACTTGCTTCTCACCTTTAAAATTCTTGCCAAAATTAAATTTGACATTTTCCAAAGAACTCTTGTGAATATGATACCTCACCTTAGAAAGAAATGTAAGTCAGCATTTAGTATAGCCTCTCACTCCTGAGACATTTCCGCTATTCAACAATCAACCACTAGAGGGAAGCAGATATGAGTATTTGGGATTTCTCAAAGCAGAAATGTCAAGGCAATTATTTTATTTGAGTAGTGTATCATTTATTTGTGTTTTAAATTAAATATTTTTAGGGTTATCTATTGATCCATGAGGAGTCATACTTTTTATGAATGTTCATAAAGTTGAGTCAAAAAGGAGAAAGTTAACTCCTTTCACAATATCAGGAAGTTATGGTGAATCATGGTCATGTTAGTTTGACTCTTGACTTTAACACACTTTACATGCTTATATCTTTGCATCAGCCACCAAATTTAGAAAGTTCTTTATCTTCCTTTATCAACTATTTCTGCAGTTGTAGTATGAAATAAAAGGCATGTATTCCCTATTTTGAGTTCATGGGCTCCTATCTCTTTAAATTCCGAGTACAGTGAAGAGTTGAGATGATAATGACCTCTTGGTGAACAGAGGTGGCGTTTCCCCTCTGACACAATGATGGTCTTTCAGTTCACACACACACTGATAGACAATTACTGTCTCTGTCTCTAGCTTTGGATATTATTCATACTCTCACATGTCGAAATGCATTCGAATACAAACACAGACTATCTTCTCTCACCCCACAGCCCCTGTTCTTGCGCTCTACCGTCACTCTTTCTCAGACAAATGCACTTTTACAAAGAGTCCACACTTGGTCACTAAGTGCTGATAGGCAGGGGATTGGTGGGCAGCGTGAGGAGAAAGAGATGCCCTGCTATCGCCTGTAAGACAACTGTCCTGTTGTTAGAAATCATAGGCTTCTTTATGCCTTTCTATAAATCATTAATAATTTAACAATATTTTTTCTGATTTGTATTTTCCAATGCAATGACATTAGCAGCACTTTGGGACTAATTTAATAGCAGGACTAAAATCTTTTTTCTTTTTTTTTTACCATATTCTTAACCTTTTTTGGGTAGTATCAACTATGTCTCTACACACAAAGTAAATTGCAGAGAAAAGTTTAAGTTACAAAAGAAAAGAATAGAAAAGAAAAACACTTGAAAATGAACATCTAAGTTGTCATGACTATAAAGTCAATATTGATCAAAATCTGAAGGTTTTTAACATCTATGCCATTAAGAACTGAGGCAGAAAAAGAAAGATACTGGGTCCCGACTTATTAGCAGGGCATACCTAGAACAGCAATCAGTTAATGTTTTCATGTTTAAGTTTAGTAATAATGAGTTTCTTTGATCTAAATTACTTAAGATATCCGATTGAAATCAAACTCTTTCACAGAGCTAGGTTACCTCTTGGCATAACAGCTTATACCAGCATATTTTTTTTATCCACTCTCACATTTCTGCTGGTTTAATTTGATTTAAGTTATTCAATCTTTGCCCTAATCATATGTATGTTTTCAGTTTATGTTAGTTTTACCTTTGCAGTAATATGTGAAATGTTTATAACATGTATTTTACAAGGTCTCTTCCCATTTTGATAGAACGTGAGTTTAAAGAAAATCTTTGATAGTAGTCTGATTGTTTTTCTAAAGGAATAAAGGTCATAATTAGAATGCACCGATCTGGATCTTGGGAGCGGATCACCAATCACAAAAATCAATATCTGTTGATCAGCTATCACAGCATCAAATCCATAAATTCTTCAACTGCTGTCTTGTGTACATTGACATTGTATTATTGTGTATAAAAATTACAGTAGATGAGAAAGTATCATGAACTGAAAACTGTTTTAGTGAAAGAGTGGGTGGAAATTAGCTTATTTTTTAAATTAAAACGGAAGACGGAGAAAATAATGTTGCCAAAAGATGAAGTGGGAAATGCTCTTTAGCGGTTTATAGGTGGCTTTTTAAAAAGCTATTTATATTTAGCTCTAGAAGGCCTGTTTCATCTTCCTACTTCCAGAGTAAACACTGACCAGCAGTCCCCTTTTCTTCCTGTGTCCTTTTCCTCTGTCTGCCACACAGGCTCCTCTGACCTCCTCTGATTGATGACCTCAAAATCAATCTACATAGCAATTACATCAAATACTCTTACTTTTTTAGCTGTGATAATTGTGTCATTCCATCATGGTTTATTTGTTAGGTTTTGTCAAATCATTTTATATATATATATATATATATATATATTTTTTTTTTACTATTATTAAACTGATTTGTGGCAAATAAATATCCCCTACAAGACTTTCTTTCCAGTCCATCATATACAGTAAATGTAATTCCTGTAAAATATTAAAGACTAGTAGAGGTATTTGTAAAGCAGTTATTTCAATCCACTATAAAGAAATTAGAATAAACTGTAACATTTTAACAGCTTTTCTTTTTTTTTAATATCAAGTCCCATTTTAAAAGTGGCTGTGGATTCTTCATGCTGTGATCTTGGTCTGGTCAGTGTTCAGCAGATTGTTTGAAAAGCAGAGCGGAGCGAGCTGACCCTGTAATCTGTGTGTGTCTTGCAGCTGCTCTGAGAGGGACCACCACCCGAGATCTCTACACACACTTTGGTCTTGAACTGGAAGACTGAAAAAGGGAATCACGCTTATAAATGCTTTATTAAACTAGTTAAACAATATTAAAGTTACAAGGTGAAGTGACTTGGATTTTATTTTCATTGTTTTTTGCGGTTTTATTTTATGCATTGGGGGCAGGGGGATCAGTTGAGTTCAACAGGTTTACAATAAGGAATCTAAATGATGACATGGATAAGAACAACATAAGCAGATATCAGTATGCATGTTATTTGAAATATGTTTGTTATTCAGCTGTTAAGCTCATGGCAAGTTACTGCATAGTAATTAAGAAGTTGTTTTTTTCCCCCTGGCATGTGTAAGGTGTTAGGGAATGTAAACATGTCGTGCTGTCACTGTCCTCTCTTGTTTGAAATTACACAAAGTGTTATGAAACATAACAGCCTCAGTATCACCTTTGTTGATGTTAATTAATTGAAGATTTTGCTGTAATTTTCAGACTATAATTTATTATAATAAAACACACAAAGCATTGAACGTTTCATTATTCTTCTGATATTTATCATGCGTTTTCACTTCAAATCAATCATTACACAATACATTGATACTGTTTTAGTTTTGTTTTCTTATAATATGCTCTCCTTTAGCTGCAGTTGCAGTTTTAATCCTATAGAAAGACAAACCCCTTTTATAAATAATGGCTTGAAGAAAGACAAATGGGTGGATCTCATCTTTAAATACCTATCCAATATTTAGAGTAAATGACTATTTATATCTGCTGAAACAAAAGGTTAACATATAGATAGATATATAGATAGATATAACAGATGTTTTAAACTTAAGGGAGTGGTTTTAATCTATCTATTGATAACAAAGCTTCCATCTGGTATCAGCAGAGAAGTGTAACAACCCTAATCTATTTCACTGTGTGTTTTGTCAGTCAGCATTATCCATCAAGTGATTGATAAGTTATCTCCTTTGGAAGGTGAAGCTCATGTTTCCATATCCAAATGATTGCATCATTTGCACATTATTTGCAGAGTAATGGTGTTTGAATCCTGTAGTAAATAGCCAGAGGGTAAAGGCAGTTCAATCCGCTCACCTTCAAAGTGGAACAGTTGGGTTTGATGCTATATAATTGCACCACAGCGACTTTTCAGAAACGGACAGCGTATAATATAAGTCCGATTTTATTTTATTTTGTTCTTTTGGTTTCATGGGAGTAAAGTTGCACCACAGATCCAGAGTTTTGTTGCCACAGACCTTCTGTAATCTTCCCTGGTTAGGCAACATGCTTTCAGGTTTGACAAATTCCTGTTACATTATGTAAAATGAACCTTCATTTATTCTGCACTTATCAAAATTAGGAAGTTATGACTATTGACTACCTTTACTTTTGAAGCTGTTTAAAAAATATTCAGTAAAATCCTTTTACCAGTCTGTGGTCTTTTGTGCATTTTATATAAAAATACTAAGATTTAAACTAAATTCATTCCTCTGAAGGTAGCTGTCTTAAAAGCATAGAAACTGGCTCTTGTATTTATTACATCCTGTCCTGCCTCATTCCTTGCTAATCTGTTGGACCCTTTTGTTGACAGAGCAGTTGTGTTTGAGAAGAACAGGGAGGGTGATAATTTGGGATGGTGAGGCAGGGCTCGTTTTACACCATAATAGCTTGGTCATTACTGGGTGGAGAGACTGCTGTGTGGGCCAGCCTGTTTGGGTCCTCGTCGTTTAAAAGTCAGGGAATGTCCCGGATAAGTGGGCAGAGTAAACACACCATGAGAAATAAATGGGGTTAAGAGCTAGTACTACTAAATACCCCATGCTCATATGGCTGATACAGACATAACACCATTTTTATAAATAAAATGGAAATGTAATATAAGTCAGGGCTTTGAATTATCTAAAAGAAGATGTCTGGTATTTTTCTTATGTTACTACATTTATGACTAATGTTGAGGATGCAGCACACTTAATACTCTGAAAAAGGAATGTCATTCAGTTGTTTGATGCCATCACGTCATTTACTCTGCTGAAAAACCCTCCTCCACAGAAAGCAGGCGTTGTCACTGGATGTTTCCTTGTGTTGAGAGGTTGGCTTTGCAGCTGTCTTTCATTCTCAAAACAATATGCACGTGGTGAGACTGGAAAGGAACAACTCCCTTTTAACAGGAAAAAAACCATCAGAAGAACCGGTTTGACTGGCCACCTGTGAATGACAGGAGGGGGGTTTGGGAGGTACACAACACAGAGATGGCTTCAGGTGTAGTTTTTGTTGAAGAAGGTGGACAAATAACGTGCGTTAGCTTTTTAGTTCAGAAGAGAGTTTAAAAGTTCATTCGGTCTAGAAATTATGGGTTTATGAATGATCCCTTAGAAAAGATGGAGGCAAAAAAGAGAATATCTACTTTGAAGCCACAGGTTGGTATTTAACTGTCTCCAAAGTAGAAGCGTAGCCAGAAAATTTTAATAGGGGTGGCCAGTCAAAAACCAATGTACACTGAGGGGTGGCCGAATGCAGATAGACGGCAGAACCTCACAGTCAACCAACATCCATATTTTCTAAATAAAGATAAACCAAACTTTCCTACAGCCTTTGCTAACAAATAGATGCATATATTTAAACATCCATGCCGTCTAAATAAAAGGTACAGTGGACAAAATTTCTGGGGTGAATATCTTTTTTTTATTGTCATTATCAAAAATTGTTTTGCATAAAATTAACATTTACATGTACTTATATCTACATTCAGTGGATTTTAAGTCATTATTAAAGTAGTTATTTATCTATGATTTCACTGAAGACTCCTAGATGACTGACAGAGACATAATTTTCTGTATATATCAACTTTAATGTTAGTATTTTGATATGCAAGGTGTTTTAGTTGTCAAGTAATTGTTAAGATATGAAAAAGTAAAATGTTTAAGTGTGAACATTCCCCATCTGTATTACAGTGTGAAAAAAATGGTAGGCTAAGGGTGGTCATGGCCACCTCTGGCCCCCCATCCAGCTTCGCTCCTGCTCCAAAGGGAAATTTTCTTATTTAGGCAACTCGCACTATTTTCCTTTCTGTGATAAAACCCATCCTTACCGCCGGCGAGCCAGAAAGAGGCAGACCCACAGGGTGGGGGGCTGGGCCGCATTTCCTCTCCCACCTCCGCCGGACGTGACGCAATAAACAGAGCACCTCTATTGGTCCGGCCTGCCCGTCTGTCAGCTTTTATTCCTGATTCACTGATTTGACGCTGACCGCGGTGGGCGGGCTCAGCTTAGAAAATTATAAGGTCATTTGAATTACGCCTGCCTGCGCGCTCACCGCTTATAATGAACCGAGGGATAATATAAATTATTGTGACCCTGGACGGAGGATGATCGCAGGGTCAAAGTCGACCCAAATCGCTCTGGCATTTTTCTCAGCAGCAGGAGGTCGGTGCGGGGTTGACGACAGGAGAGGAGCGTCTGCCAGGGTGCGTTTCTATAGCCGGAGGGAGCGAGCAGGCTGGCCTGTAAGCCGATCAAAGTGAGATCTCCCACACCGAGTTTCACCTTCCGATCGCTGCGCATCTACATGCTGGAGCAGTGAGAGAAAAGACAGGAAAAGGTAAGCAGCATATCCTCAACCCTGTGCCACAGCTAGGGGGGCTTGGTGTGCGTCAAATCCAAGGACTGGTGGTCCCATCCTAACCCAAACCTTACTTTCTCTACATTAAGAGCGATTGATCTGTAATTTAAGGCAACACCCGGTCCTTTAAAGGCAAATTATGACCACATGTCTGTTCATGATAAAACATCCAGCTGCTGCTTCAGTGGTGTCCATCCGCTTCCCTGCGCCGAGGCGCATCCTGCTGCTGGTGAAAAAGCCTGTCACCATGATGACCTGCATCAGGTTACATTCAAACCAAGCCGTCTCCAGGCGGAGGCCGCGTCTAAAGCGCACATGGCATATGGTTAGAGAGGTTAGCAGCAGTGGGCTGAGCCTTCCTCTCCCTCCCCACCGCAGTATGATGCTCCGCGCCTTCAAATTTCCGGGTTCAGTAACGGGCGCATGATGAAGCTTTTGTCTCTATCCGCTGTCAGCCACCGTTATTCACTGCGATGGAAAAAATAAGAGAGCTCGTTTGGGTTATGTCGGCTGATGGCAGTCACATGTTTGAGGTAAAACACAACCAGAATTTATAGGGAAGAAAACAGACATCCGGTGTATAATTGCGTCGTTTTTGATGATTATAATCAGATGAGATGAAGGATAAGACATTTATTATGAGGGATGCGTCTTTAGATCCGCTTTCCTCGCTATCAGATGATCTAAATGCTACAACAAACCATTTCCTTAAGGTCTTAAACGCTTCTCACCTACACGGGGAAAGTAAAAGATCTCAAGATGCTATGTTCAGGGGCGGGGCGAGATGTGGGGGCCAGGGGTGGCCATAACCCCCCTTTTTTTTTTTTTTTTTTTTTTTTTTTTTTTTTTTTTTATAAACAGTGTCCAGTCTGGGAATGTGGCAATAAGACTAATTGTCTTGATGCCTGTGAGATACCATACCATACCATACCAACTTTATTTATGAAGCACTTTATGCACCTGACAGGACCAAAGTGCTGTACACCATCATAAAATACAATGCAATTATAAAATAGAAAAGATCAAGTATAAAATGCATATTAGTATACCTAGATAGCATAGAGATAGCCTGGCCAAGAGGCTGAAAAAGGCAGTAGGCAGATGTCCATTGTAGCAGGTGGATTATTTACATTGCAAAAAACAAGGGTCCAAAAAAAAGTATTTACAGATTATATGGACACTGTTGTGTAGGTAGAACAGGAAAGGAAAAACAAAAAAATGAGAAAAGATGAAAGAAAGAGGAGATAAAAGGGAGATAATGATAAAAAACATTTTCAGTCTGCTTCATCACATGCAAAGAGATGTAAAAAGAACAGCACAACCAACGGACATTGCACGAGACATACAATAAAGTAACACCTAGATACTATACTTATACTACTGAAGTATTATTTAATCTGACATGTACTCTGTGTTACCTGAAGATACATTCATATCTTAACAATTACTTGACAAAAACACTGTGGTTAATTTTGCACATTAATATACTAACATTAAAGATACCCGGTAAGTACAGAATTCATGCTCTTTTTAGAACTAAATTTTTTGTTTTATGGGGTGAAGAGAAAATAATGTGTCCCTGCAAGTCATCTAGGAGTTTTTTAGTGAAATCATAGATAAATAACAATTTTAACAAAAACGTATTAAATAATCAATTTATATAGATATTATTGCTTGTAAATATCAATTTTATGCAGAATGATTATTGATAAAAGTAGGTAAGTAATGACAATGGAAAAGATGTTCACACCAGGATTCAAACTTGAAAGAATTTTATCCGCTATACCTTTACCCAGATGGATGTTGAAATATATGCGTTTATTCGTTAGCAAAGGCTGCAGGAAAGTATAGTTTGTCTTTATTTAGAAAACATCGATGTTGTGCTCGTTAATTTTCCTGTTGGAACAGTGTAGATTGACCCTATGTTTCTGGCCCCGATCCACTTCAGGCCACCCCCAAGTCTACATTGGTTGTTGCCTGGCCACCCTTACAAAAATTTCCTGGCTACGCCTCTGGCTGTGTTGCTTATTTGGTTTCAGCCTGTAACGCTTTACAAATCATCTTACAGGCCAAACCTTTCATCATTCATTAGCGTCCTGCAAAAGTTTTCATAATATTTAGAGTTTTGTAACCGTGCACACAGATATTTACTATTTCTTTGCCACATGCCATTTAGGAGGACACAGCAAGCATGTGGCAGAACAAGTTCTGGTCAAACAGAACTGGTGTTTAATATGCAAAATGCTGTGTCTGTTGAGACACAAACACTTCATACATCCCTAAACCATCACCACTCTGAAACACGGTAGTGGCAGCATAATGGAGTTGATTGAAAGATGAATGCAGATAAATACAGGTAATTTTTATTATTTCATTGTAATTTTATCTGGTAGACCAGCACAAATATTATTGTGTAAATTGTATACATTTACTTACTACAGCATGCCTTCATTTCTAGTCCTCAATTTTTCATGCCTCTAAATGAGAGCCAGAAAAACCAATTATCTTGAGAAGTCATCCGATTATTGAAAAGAAGCAATCTCTCTGTTAGTTAAACTTAAATTTTAACCTGAGAGCCGTTGTCACCCAAGTTTTAAATGTGCCCTACATGCCCAAATCTTATGCCTAATATGTCATCTCAATATTCAGTCAAGCTCTACGGAGCTCTGCTAACAAGATGATATTTGTGTTTAAGTAGAGATGCATCTAATAGATAAGATAAGATAGACTTTATTGATCTCACAGTGGAAAAATTCAGTTGTCACATCGGCTCAATAGTCAAAAGAAGGTGCCAAAAGGAGGAAAAGGTGCATGGGGTATAAACAGTGCGTATACAATGGATCAAGGGCAAAAATAAAAATTAATAGTTGGCTTATTAAATGTGGAATGGTCCATTTAAAGCTCAGACCTAAATCCATGTGGGAATCTGACAATAAAAATGGCTTCTCACAGACACACAGTATTCACTTTAAGTCTACAAAGCTGTTAGAAATTCCCCGAAAAAGGATATGTTCCTAACAGTTTGTACTGACCCAATATACAAATAAGAATACAAATAGTAATAAACGCCCAAGTTTTGGGTTTTCTTTTTGTGCGCGTGTGTAAAATGTTAGAAAGTTGTGTCATTTTTCCTCCACTTCATTTCTATGTTATTTCATGTTTGTGTGTGACATAAAAATCCAACAGCATATCCTGAATTTGTGAGAAAATATGGAAAAACGGGTAGGAATACTTTTGTAAAGCACTTTAAAACACACCAAGCCTAACTAAGTAGTTCATACTTGGCACAGGCAGTGTAAACAGAATCCCTGATGATAACATTCTTTGGCTCTGTGGCAGCGTTAGCCAGAGAAACCCTTCCTGTGTGTTTAAACTACTAGTATGTGTTAGCGGTTTAATGCTCAGCCTGAAGAGTTCCTGATTTGTAATTCTTATGTTTTTTTTCTCTCAGGATGATGCGTCTGGCATGTTGCACAGCGTTGCTGTTTGTGTTGAGGCTGTTGGTGGGCCTGCCATGGTACCAGGTTCTTCCAGCCATCCTGATATTCTATCTTGGAAGTGGAGGATGGAACTTTCTGGATATTGTTGCCAAAACAATTGGCAGAGATCTACAGTAAGCATTATAAATATGTCTAGACCTGAAATATATGCAGTTATGCCACATTTCTTTTTTATTTTACAGCCCATAATTAAAATGTTAGCTACAGAACTTTAACATCCTTTGTACAGACAATAAGTCACAGTCATTCGATGCAGTTTTAAAACATATTTTATGTTTTTTGTAGTAAACCATATTTTTTATTCTAGCAGTAATAATAAATAGACACTTAGCAAGCACTAAAGTCTGACTTTCACATTAATCATCAATATTTTAGCACAAATTTCTGATATTATCACTGTCAGTTACAAATTAACAGTGAAATTCTCTTTATGGTTATCGCTTCTCTTGCAATACCTTGCAAAGAATTGGGTTTTATTTTTACACTTTATCACCTAACATGTTGCATCAATGTGCAATGTCAGTTATCACATTTTTAAGTAGAATCACAACGTAATTATGCCTTTAAATTGGTTTTAGCATTATTTCCTTGATTAAAAAAAGGGATAGAAGATAGAAGAAGTCTTCAGTTCTGCAGTTTGACCTCTTTGCTTGCAGTCACACAGCAGGTATTTTGATATGTTTTTGGAAAGAGAAATGCAAAGAATGCAGCTGAAGAGCGGTGTTTTAATTTGTTAACACTGAGCTAATATTTGCAGGAGACTATGGTAATAACTTCCTTTTCTGTCCCTCACACTGCTGTCAAAACGGGAAATTGAAAAGAAAAACTTGTCCTTTTAACAACCTTCTCAGCATAAATGCACCAAAGTAGTCCAACTGGTAATGGTGTCTATTTCTAATAGATGACGCATAAAACAAAGGCTCTGCATCTTTGTCAGTTAGGTGTGTATTTCTCATTTTAATATACATAACACATCTTCCCCTAGTATAGTAGCAAAGCTGGTAAGGTTTTACTGAAATTTCATCATGAGTCAAAGTTAGGAATGCAACAAGTTTTACTTCGACTCTGGCTAAAATTTCCACTGTGACTCAGAGGGTTTTTATAGAATGAAGTAGTTTGGCAAGCGATTGGTATTTGGTTCACTTTTTGTTTTGTGAAAAAGACAGGTATGCTAGAGTGAATGAAAAAAAGGTATGTTTTTTTTAATGTGCATTCTTAAGCTACACGTGACGTAAATCTATATAGATGTAAAGTAGATTAAAAAAGGTACATAAAATGGCTCACTACTACTATTAGTTTAATTCTGTTGCGATTAAAGGAACCCTAATTTATATGTTGATAATCAAATGAGATGCTTGAACCTTGGTAAACTGCATTTTTGTGTCAAACATCAAACTAATCCCTTATGCAATGATAAGCATTTCAGGTAGATTACAGTACAAACATGAAATGACTGGGCCTGTTGGTTTTTATGATGTTTCTGTAATTATTCACCTCTCTGAAGCCTGACTTTGGCTTTTACCTCCGTGCAATAAAAAAAAAGTACGGGGTGTTGCTATTTATTCAGACTTTGCCCCTTTGGTCTGCTTTGTTGCAGGATTTTATGCAAACTTTATAAGGCTTAGAGGTTTATTTGTAGAAATCAAAACACGCTTTTTGTTTGCTTCACTGCAAATGTGGCATGATTCATAAGGCATTACCCAAAGAACGTGCCAAGTTCATCCTTTTGATTGAAAAGATTGTTTCTTGCTTGTTTATTTTTGTTTTTACCCTTTTTAGTTTATTTTTGAAAAACTTGTAAAACAAAGATTTATACACCTCAAATGCAGTTGAGAATAACTTAGTTGTGCTGTATTTAAAGCATTAAATTGGTATTTTTGTTTTTGTTCTACAGCGCTGCCTATGTGTTGCTGCGCGTGAAGCTTAACGTTAAGCGCCACGTCAGAGAGAAGAACACTATTCCTAAGATCTTTGCTGAAACGGTGCAGCGCCATGGGGACAAAACTGCTCTCATCTTTGAGGGGACCGGAGAAAGGTGGACTTTCCGACAGCTGGACGAATATTCCAACCGAGTTGCCAATCTGCTGCTGGATCGAGGCTTTAAGGTATATTTGAAAAGACAGAAAAAATAAAAAAAAATCATGTTAGAAGTAATCTTTTTTTCATAGTACCGGTAAATCTCATTTTACAATTAATAATTTCAATTCTGGTCATTTATGAACTGGACTCAATTATTTCCACTGCTTTAGATAATTTCTTTCTAATTTAGTGACATGACACCCCTCAGACTTCAGTGCTTCCTCTATGATTTATTTGTTATGCACCATCGTTGTATATAGCTGTGAAGCAACAGAAAACTGATGCACGGTTCTCCTACACTTTGTCACATAAGTTTGAAAAGCGGGACCTGTTTTGGAGAAGAAAAGCATCTCCCCAGCATGTTACTTCTAACATCCCTTAATTTTATATGTAGGAAAGTTCAGCTTCGGTCTAATCTAGTCATAGAACCTCTCATGTGTTAGCTGTATCTCCCATATGGTTTGAGGTTCTCAAACAATTTAACATGGTTATTTTATGGTTGCCTATATCACAGCCGGAAAGGGCGACTCAGATACATTGATGGTTTTGGTTCACCTTAATATTTTTAAGTGCCCTGCATATAACTCCAACTTACTAAAAAAAAAAAAAATTCATCTTTTATGCATCTACACAAGAATAGAGTTAAATAACCTAGATGCAAAATGTCAGTTAGTGTTGGGATCATTTCTAAAGATGTCAATGGAGGGGGAAAAAACGTGAAGAAATTACTTGTTAATCAATTCTTGTAGTTATTTAGCAGCTCCTGTTTGCATTAACACTAAAATACACACATATTGACTCAATCAACACGACTTCTGGAGGTATTTTCACTGGAATTATTTTGGGGGATCAGAGTGGAAGGGACTAACTGCAAATCTATGCCATGCTTTTCTGATTTGTTGGCAGTATCATGCTGCGGGATGCTTGCTTTTATCCCATTAAGACACAAAATGAAAAATAGTAAATGGTTGTGAATAATATAGTTTGACAGCACCTTTTTGTCTTAACTTTAGGAGGGCGATGTGGTGGCCCTTTTCATGGAGAACAGATCCCAGTATGTGGGGCTGTGGTTGGGCATGGCTAAAATCGGAGTCGAAGCTGCTCTCATCAACTTCAACCTGAGACTAGAAGCACTGGTGCACTGTGTTACCATCTCCAATGCCAAGGCTGTGGTGTTTGGTTCAGAGCTGGCTGAAGGTAAGATCCAACAGCTGTCCTAAGCCTCTTTTATGAACTGACCTGACTTATGCTGATGGTTGCCGTTCTTCTCTCTTTGTAATGAGAGAGGTGAGTGCAGGGAGAAAGCAACTCTGGTCATAAAAGATAAATGGTTATTTGAGTGCATGTCTCCTTGGTATCAGCCTGTAGAGCTGTCTTTATCACCAATATGCTGTATTCAAAGTTCGACAAGCGTATCAGCTGATAAATGGTAATCAGCAACTGATAATGGTGTTGAAATTTTCAGCTCTTAAAGATCTTTATTACAGGATGGGATTCAATTTGTTTTGATTGTTTTTTTGTTTTGTTTTCTCCAAAATAAGTTCCATGTCTGTAAATAAATATCAGCTTTAGTAAAAAAAAAAAAAACAAAAAAAAAAAACAAAGGAAAACATGGCAGCCGGGTTTACTATTTACCACTTTTATCTGTTTACCGCAGCTTTAAAACAACAAGTAAAAGTCGCTCGGCAGGACGACCCTAACCGACTCACTCTGGAGATATGAGCTATGAAAGGATCATGTGTGCATGGAATTTAAAACTGCATGAATTATTTGCTATCTGCTTATTCAGTGTATTAATAAACCCAGCCTGGTATTTTACTCCCTTCCTATTGTATGTGCACATGGTGTCTAGCATAAATTTAGGGTCTATTTTCCCCTCCCCTACTTGGATCCAAGACCCATCAGGAAAAAATAACTTGATTTCAGCATCTTTAAAGAGGGAGGAAGTGTGCAGCTGTTCATTCAGAGATTGATGGAGCTCTCTCTGGATTGGTTCCTCAGCCTGTAGTGTGCTTAATGCCTTTAAGTAATTGCAAGCGCAGCCTTTTTATGGTGGAGCCCAACATCATGCTTGCAGCATCGGTACTAAGTCAAAGGACATAAAGCCTCATTATTTAGACACCGTTTTCCTTTTATGCCATTGAAAGAAGCCTTAGAGAAGCTTTAGAGTCATTGTTACTCGATACTTCCACCTTGTCATTTCATATCACTTCAATTTCTTGGTTATAAAGTTGCTTTGTGCTCATTTTATTTATCCTCCTGTTTATTCCACAATACTCCAGTGTATTTTTTTCTTTACAGCGGTGTCTGAGGTCCACAGTTCAATGAGAAAGGCAGTTCTCATGTTTTGCTCTGGAGACTATGACCCCAAGCAAGTACCGCAGGGAACTGAGTGCTTGGAGACCCTGCTGACCGGCGCTTCGTCTCGCCTCCCTAAGCGGCCACAACGCTGCTTCACAGGTGAACACCCCATTTCAGCTGAAATGAATTACTTTGCTAACAACGCATCCATAAAAGTATAAAGGTTTATGCAAATGAAAGAATAATTTGTAATAATTCAATTTCTACAAACGTCTTCCATCGTCGTTTCCAGATATTTCAACAGAAACGTTAATTGCTGAAACTAAAACATAGCCTCATGTGTCTAATTGAGGGTGAGGCAGATATAACAGTGATGTTGCAAGTAGCTAGAGGTATCTGATGGTGGATTGGAAACTAATTTTCTCCCAGATGTTTGCGTCTGTTGAAAATACAGACATTATAAAGGGCAGCTTACATAGGGTCCTGTGTTTGAAAAATATTCACTGGTTAAATTGGGAACCTTTGCTCCATACCATGTTGATGTGGTCTAATTAATCTACTTTCTCTGTGTTTTCTGTTTTCAGATCGCCTGTTTTATATCTACACATCAGGAACCACAGGGATGCCTAAAGCCGCCATTGTTGTGCACAGCAGGTAGGAAGCAGGCGTTTGGTCAAAAAACGGACACACAGGAACTGCAGCTGTTCTTTTCAGATCCATGTTGTGTTTAGTTCAAACAATCTTAGAACAGAAGGAGACAGAGATAAAGTAAAGCTCGCTCCTTTTGTTTTGACTGATTTGTTTTGTTCTGCTTCTCTCGTTTCTAACTTCATTCTGGTTTTCAGATACTACCGCATGGCTGCGTTGGTTTATTACGGCTTTAGGATGACATCAGACGATGTCCTGTACGACTGTCTCCCGCTCTATCACTCTGCAGGTATGTTTGCTGAAATAGATTTGGGTTTATACCTCCATTGTTCAGGACCAAGTTTGCTTCTTTTAGAGCACCTCTTTGGATACATTTTTTCTTGTACAAAAAGGAAAAAAAAGACTCAAAAACACCCACAAAAAAATTTGATCTAGTGTCATGTTGAGGCCAAAGCAGACAAAGGTTTCTACCCAGTCTCATATGCAAATCAATCTCAGTGAGAGAGAGCTGTAGTCAATGGCTTTGGGTTGTAAAAAAAACGTCACATCCATATTGGTTTGAGTCCTTGTACAAACACAGCCAAATTAGCTTGACCCACTGACAGCCCTTCCTCTTAAGAACCACAGTATCATGTTGATCACAGCACAATTTCTATTTCAAATTTCCAGATGGAAAATGGAATCGGGTTAAGCCCAAATAATCCAGATTTGAATATTTCTTGATGCCACAGGGTGGCTTTACAGCATTCATTTAGGCTGCAACTACAGTTTAAGCCATTTTTATTATAACCTGGTCACGACTGACGCCACGATCCTTCATGTTCGTCACTTTAAGGAAACATTGTGGGAGTTGGACAGTGCCTGATACATGGAATGACGGTGGTCATCAGAAAGAAGTTCTCTGCGTCCCGCTTCTGGGATGACTGCGTCAAATACAACTGCACCGTAAGCCGGATGTCTGTGACAACAACCCAGTAAAGGTATATCAACAGTTTCATGTCATTAATTCTATTCTCATTTCCTTATTTAACATGTAGATTGTCCAATACATTGGAGAGATCTGCCGATACCTACTAAACCAGCCGGTTCGGGACACTGAGCGCCAGCATCGGGTGCGCATGGCGTTGGGTAACGGCCTGCGCCAGTCCATATGGGAGGAATTCATGAAGCGCTTCAATATCCCACAGATTGCAGAGTTTTACGGAGCCACAGAATGCAACTGCAGCCTGGGCAACTTTGGAAACAAGGTGGGAACACAGCCTGCAAAGAAGCAGTTAGAAATGTTCTGCTAAAATAACCTAAACATTGTGAGACTCTTGCATAAGTTCTAGGGGAGAGAAACAGGAAAAAGTCCCAAAGATCATTGTTTAAAACAGTCTCCTATGCAATGATATACTCTTTCAAGATGGCGGCACATGATCAAATGTTGCAGATTTCTTGTGCTTAAATGGACAAAACATCATTAGGTTAAAGAAAGAAACCCCAGGGTAATTGTTTGAATGTTGCTTGATCATGGTAAATTTGAAAAATCAATCAATCAGTTAAGACGCTGCCATCCTTGTAGTACTCTCTAGGGCTGCAACTAACGATTATTTTGCAAATCGATTAATCTGTATTATTTTTTCGATTAATTGATTAATAATATTTCAACAAAAGGTTCCTTAGAGAAGATTTTTTTGCTAAATTAAACCAAGTGAGACTAGAACTTTTCCACCTGAGGAGTTCTGGATACAATATACTGACAGACAAAAAAGTTTTTGTCGTAAATGCCAAAATGTTTACATTTTTTTTCTTTTATATATAATTTTGGTATAATTATTGCTCTAAGATGGTTTCTCTGTCAGCTATAGGCATGTTCTAGACTCTCTACTCTCTAATGATTAACCTATAACCAAATTAGTTGGTAAATTATTTCAATAATTGATTAACCACGATTAATCCGGTCATTTGTTTCAGCCCTAGTGCTCGCCTCAAACAATCAGCATTTTCCTCAGCTAAGCAGCCATGTTTGCTTTCCAAGTAAAGCCAGTCCCACTAGGGTTCTAAAACTATTTTGCAACTTTTGTTAAATCATATTATGAACTAATTAAGCTGTCACCCTGTTTTCTTTCATTTATTTGTCATCCTGATTGTCTGCTATACTCTATAATAAATGCGGCACCAGGTTCTTTAGCAGCCTGATTGGCATTTTGGTTGCTTTGTTTTGTTTTGTTTTGAAAAACTCCCAACTTTCTTTTAAAAGTGAAGTCTTGGGATAATTTGGAAGTCTGCATACTTTCCAAAACTGGAAGCTTCACTACAGCTGTTAGTGGAGCTGTTAGAAGCATCATTTTTTTCACCTTTCTTTATATTGTCACAGCTCACTAGCTCTACGAAGTAGATGGCTGCTATTACTGCCTCCATATTCTTGCAAGTTTTACCCAGGACCGATTTATACTCCAACTGGTGTATTTTTTTATGCTGTAATTATGTATTTACCTGGTTTAAAGGTGGCCTTCAGTGGTATGGATATTTATTTCCCTCTGTGGTCAGACATTATATGATTAACGTAGCAGCTTTGAAAATCCTCCTCATTGTGTTCATCTAAAGAGGGTTGTCATTGTTCACATCTTTTTATTTACTGTCTAGGTTGGAGCGTGTGGCTTTAACAGCCAGATCCTGCCTTTCATATATCCCATCAGACTGGTGAGGGTTGATGAAGAGACCATGGAGCTCATCAGAGGCCCTGATGGAGTCTGCATTCCTTGTAAACCAGGTGGGCTTTTTTATATGCAATATTATTGACATCAATAATAAACTAGAATTTGCTTAGAGTGGTTGTTTTAAGCACCTTGAGACTGACATGCAGCTGTTTATATACTGACATGTGACATGGGAATTGATGATGAAAACATGGCTTTGGATGTCGTGAAATAATTAAATCTTTTTTTCTTCAAGGCGAGCCTGGCCAGCTCGTTGGCAAGATCATTCAGAACGACCCCCTTCGCAGGTTTGATGGCTACGTCAACCAATCGGCAACTAGCAAGAAGATTGCCAATAGTGTCTTTAAGAAGGGCGACAGCGCCTATCTTTCTGGTTAGAACCCTTCTCCAGCACATCTTACCGTACGCGGTTCTTTAAAGTACTTTATATAAATAAATGTCTTATAAATCCTCTCAACAGGTGACGTGCTGATCATGGATAAGTACGGCCACATGTACTTCAAGGATCGCACTGGAGACACTTTCCGATGGAAAGGAGAGAACGTCTCGACGACTGAGGTGGAAGGAACTTTAAGCAGGCTGCTTGATATGAAAGACGTGGTCGTTTATGGAGTAGAAATCCCAGGTAAAACTCCTCACTTCATAGATTTCTATTCTGTCTGTTAAAGCAGTACAGTGGAAACTATTTTATAAAGCCCTGAGAAAACCTTCTGCTAACATATCTGTTAAATCGTCGCTTGTGTCAAAATATAGAAACTTTATATTTTGTTAAAGAGAAACATTTTAATTGACAAGTCACTCAGTACACTTTAAATTAGTGAACAATGGCTTAAAGTTCAGTGTAATTTAGCAATGCAATTATGACATACAAATAAAAAAGGATATAATGTTTTCATGTGTTGTTAAAAAGAAGATTATGAAAAGTGAAGGTAGAACTAACTTTTGGTTTATGTTTTTTTGGCTATCTACCAGCCTAAGAAGAGTGGCTCTTTCATTTAAATTTGATGTACAGCATCTTAATTATAAGAAAAAAAAGAAAATTTATATACAGGATGTATATAATTATATCTGGACATATACAAGGCTTTTTTAGGACTAGAATATTTCTTCCTCTCAATCATTTGGTTGTAACTTTGATTATTGATTAGATTTTCTTTCCCTGCTGGAAGCTGAACCTCTGCCCCAAGCCTTTTGCAGCTTAGTCAGGTTTTCCCTCCAGAGTTGCCCCATTTTTAATTATTTTTTTTTTTTTTTATCTTTAATCAATTTTTTTTTACCAAAAAGTCATAAAAGTGTTCCTCTTTGCTGAAGGAGAGCATGATGCTGCCCCACAGTTGCACTCTTTGATCCTTGATATGCTAACCATGTTTCTGGTTATTTGCAATGTTTTTTGTTCTGGTCCTTTTTTTTTGTTGCTTGTCTAGCACATTAAGTCTCATTGAAATACGTGTAAGTTGAAGTCATAATGTAGCTAAATGAAATAAACAAAATAAAGATGTATCATGCATCTTTATTTTGTGTTAAATAAAAAGGATGAAGCTGTGTTTGACAAATATACAGGCGGTACAATACTGTGGCTGATGTAGCTGCTGCAATATCTTTGCTCACTCCTGATCTGTTATGACATGAAATTAATTACTGCTCTGAGAAACGTCATCACCTATATGCCTGAGCTGCAAGTTAGGCTCCAGAGGCACAAGAGACCAATTAGAGATACCATTAATTTATACTTTACAGAGGAAGATATAAATACATAAACATATCAGTAGTTTTAAAGGAGAGTTGGCAAATGAGCTATTAAAAGTATTCTTTATTGCCTCCCATTAAGAGTATTGCTAAGGCCAGTGCAGAATGAACGTAGGGATGTGAGGATGCTTTTGTCTCGTTTTAATAGACTGATGCCAAAGACTCCAGTCCCTCTACGACCCTGAAAACATTTTAGATGAATATACAAAATCCTGCAGCAAAGTATGAAATGGTGGCCATGAGCTTGGTGTTCAAAAATAATAAAACTGTTTTGAATTAAACTCATGGCAGCATTGCCACTAAAATTTGCAATCAGAGCTTTTATCTTATCTGGTCCTTAGCAGCTAATCATCTGACATGTCCGATTATGTGTACAGGTGCAGAGGGGAAGGCTGGGATGGCAGCCATCGCTGATCCGTCCCAATCCACCGACCTGGAGACATTTTTCAAAGACATGGAGAAAGTTCTCCCTCCGTATGCTAGACCTGTGTTCCTTCGCTTCCTTCCAGAAGTCAACAAGACAGGTATTTACTTGCTCTTTTTTTTTAACTGAAGGTGGCCCCATTTATGGGCTTAAATGCCTCGTTACATGTTAGTCTTAAACTATTTGATTGAATTTTAAAAACAAGATGTGGGATGATTAATTCCTGCTGGATGTCCCCTTATCCACACAGAGAAGCTAAACTACAAACATACTCAGCTAACTACTCTGCCATAACCCTGGCTGGATACTTGATCGCTTTTCTTATTATAAATGGTAGAGATGGATAAATTTGACCATTTTGCTGGTGTGGACATTCCTGACCTTAATATTATCCTCCCTTTTCGTTTTAACCTCAGTTTTTATTCATTTTATTGTTTTGAGTGCTTACAAGTCCAAATTGAAACATGAGGCTGTTTAGAGGTGACATGGAAGAACTTGGAGGTAGCTCTCCTTTGTCCTTTAATGCACCTGTATCACTGGCATCCATGATGATGCCACTATTGTTCGTTACCAGATTATCCAGTGTTCTCAGGTAAAGAAACTTCCAAGCGTTATTCTTGTCAGACTTCCTGTTCTAGTCTGTCAGTATGGACCATTACCAAACCTTAGTTGAGCCTGAAGGTGTTGTTTTAAGAGCAATTCATTTTAGGTCAGTAATCTCTGTCCAAGTTGATGGGAAAATTGTTTCACTGCAAACGGGGGGCATTGGAGCTCGAGCAGCTTCCGCTTTCTGATTGGCTGAGTTTTGCTGCTTCCTGGGTTGTTCCAGAACATCCTAACTAGTTTTCCTTGGTATAATTGTTTGATCATTACGCACACCAGAATTATACCAGGAAGCCAGAAACACTCTGGTTTCTCTTGAACTCATTAAGAAACACTTAACCAAACATTAGGGTTTTCCCCCACTTTACATGACTGGGCGAGAGAAGAAATCAGTTTTCATTACAGTACATTTATTCGTTCTCCTGTATTCTGTCATTTTGACCAAAGAAAGAGAAGCAGGTTTGGATGCTTCTGGTGTGGATTGCACCACAGCTCATAATGTCTCCAGACTTTTTTTCTGAAATGTATGCAATGACATTTTTATTTTATTGTTTGGAAAAAAATATTTATTGTTTCTTTTTTCTTTTTTTTCTTTTTTTAACTCAGTCACTGTTTTCCTAATAAATGATTAAAATCAGTCTGTGCAGGTATGGAAATGTATGGAATTGAATTTAAGAGAGTGATTGGACACAATAAGGAAAAAATTATTTATTTATAGACTTTATTCGTTTATTGTGTATTCATTCTTCCTAGGTTCATTTCTTTCTTAATCCCTTTGTTTTGTTCTTTCTGTCAATCCTGGTTTTCCTACATTTTATCATTAATTCTATTCTTGCCTAATATTAATTCCTTTCTTTCCTTATATGTTTATTCTTCCCTTCCCTCCATCATTACTTCCTTCTTTATTTTTTTCTATATATCTTGCCTTCTCTTTATTCTTCTGTCATACTTTTTTTTTCTTCTCTATACCTTTCCTCTTTTTATTTATTCCTTCCTTACTTTTCAACCATCTTGGTTTACTGCTGCCTTCTGCTGATTTTGCAGATTTTATGTCACAACCTGAACAATGATATAAATATCTCTGGGTAATTGATACAATTCTTAAAGTCCCAAATCTGAACATAAATCCTGTGAAAGAACCAGCTAAGACTGATTTAAACAAAATATGTTTGCTTGTTTGTTTGGTAAGCAGTCTCATGATTCGAATCTGTGTTTCTTTTTCAGGTACATTTAAATTCCAGAAAACAGAGCTGCGTCGGGACGGTTTTAATCCCACTGCTGTGTCAGACAGACTGTTCTTCCTGGATTCCAGTAGAGGGCGCTATGTGCAGCTGGATGAAGAGCTCTACCGCTCCATAGTGTCTGGGAAGCACAAATTGTGACGGCCTGACAGAGCACTACATCAACTTGTGCACACACTGACATGCAGACCTTTCAACAAACAAAAGAGGACAATATTGCCTGCCCAGGTTAGCAGAACATGTACATGGATTCTAATGTAAGAGCCATACGCTTCCAAAGGCCAATGCACACACATGCATATTTTATCCCCAAACTTATTTTGTTCATTAATGTTCTATAATACAAGAGATCTACGGACAGCACGCTCAGAAGGACACGCTCTGCTCCATCCATCCCTGCTTAAATCTGCACAGACATCTCTCTTGCTACCTCAGCAAACAAAAAGAGAGACACAAACCACAGGAACCAGGTTCTCTCTGGAACTTCAAACATCTGCTCAGTGCACCACAGTCCTTGAAAACCCTTACCAACATGCTTTTCTAGCACGAAATAAGGAAAACACTCTGCCTGGAATCCAAAAAGTTGCAACTGCAGATTTTAAACAAAGGATACTGAAGAACTGTGAAATTAGCTTCGCACATAAAGTGTGCAGAACATCGAAGGGACCTTTGTGCACCTAAGTTATCTCAGTTCGTGTTATTATGTTATGTTGTAGTGTGATTAGTTTGTCAAAGATGGCGCCTCTGCTTTTGACTTAACCTGCACAGCTAGCCAGAAAGTAACAAAACACGATAACCCACACCAACTAAAGTTCAGCTTTTCTCAAACATGAGTCATTCCGACCTTCTTGCTCTCCAAAGCATCTAGGCCTCTCTAATAAAAGGGAACAAAATACAAGCAGCTGGAGTGAACGAACAGACCTGAGGTAACAGCTTTAATGTGCAATAACTCTCCAGCATCTGCAGTGCAATAATCAGCTGCAAACCATTAGAATTTTTGTTTTTATTTATTTATTGAAATGTCAGCAACTTACCAAATATTTTATGATTATGTTTACATATTTTAGGTTATAGAGTGAATCTGTATTTTAACATTCTTTTGCTGTATGTTCATTTAAATTCCATCCTTCATTATAGCCTGGAATCTATCAAAACAAACCCACCAAATGGTTTTTATATTGGCTGCTGGAAAACAAAGTAATGCAACTTGCTAAAGTCAACCCAGGGTTAAATAATGTCTGACTTGCCTCCTGAAATTTTGAGGTTATGTGGCCGTATTGTGCAGGTTCTGTCTGAAAAAGTAGACTTTGATCATCTTTGCTTGTGTGTGTGTGTTTGTTGCTGTGTGTGTGTGTTCATTTAAGCATATGAAAAAGGACTTGACTGAATGCAGAAGGACTACCTGATCAGTGAAGACTTCATGGGGTGCTAAAGAAAATCATTTTTCTTCACATTTAAGAGAGCTCGTATGATCCAAAGATTCAAAACCGGTAATGGAAGATTTAAACTGGAGCTAAGATGGAAGAGAAAAGTCAGAAGTTTACTTTGTCCACTATGGATCATTTTAGGGGCTTTTTAATTCTCAGTTTGAACCACTTTCTCTACAGTTTGGAAGGTTATGCAACATATAGGCAACTTGAATGAACAGGTATTAGGTTATTAAAATGCTGAATTATATGGTGGATTATCCCTAATCGGTGCAAGATGAATGCATACAGCTATAGGATCATATACATTCATGTGCCCCCATTGTTAATTGGTGAAATATCCCTTGATTTAGCTTAATCACACACTTACTGTAGCCATCAGAGAGCTTCTGGTATAATCCTGGCTGAATATTTGACCGCAGCTCATTTATATAGCTTAGTTTCTTAGTCTAGACCTGAACTTTAAGCTTAGTCAGTACATGTTCTATGGGTCAGGACTTGGTGTAGGTATGCTGGTAGTAGTATCATGCTGCAGGACTGTAGATGAAGATTAAGGATTGGTTCAAATTTCGTTGAAGTTTAATGTTTTAAACTTGGACATGGTTGGATGTTCCAATAAGACAATAATCTCAAACAGACATATGAAGAAAACAACAAAACATTAAACTTCTGGAACGGCCTTGATCTCAGTTCTGTTTAAAAAGTTTACCTGCCAGGAAACTAACCATTTTACATTAGCTGTTGCATTTCAGCTGAGAGGATTGTTGAAACATAAGGCCAAAATCATGTTGATGGCGACAAGCAGCATGTGGATTTGAGAGTATTTTTGATGCGGTGTGGTTGCAGGAAGAAATCCACCAGAAAATTCCAAACTAACTCTGATTTTTGTTCTTAAAACACCACAATAGAGTGCAAATGAATCATTATACGCCAGAAATGAATGACATTCGATCCCTTGTTGAATGCATGTCAACCTCTGTCTGGAACTCTAGCTAATGTTACTGTCCATGGCTTGCAGCTGCTCACACGAATGAATGCGAATCATCCACCACATGCAGAGCTCTGTGCCTTACTGCGAGTTCACCTCCCAGATCCACAGGCCCTGGCCCTCACATTTTCATCTGTTTCTGCTCGTCTGTCTGCAGCTTCAGTCTTTTCTAATCTCATCTCTAAATATCAGTGTTGCTATCTAGGTTTAGCTGTTTAACTTTAAGCATCTTTTAAGAACGTCTTTTAATCTGCAATAACTGGGTGGTCTATTCATCCTATCAAGAGCAAGAATACTTTATCTCCCATACACTCTGGTTTTAAATTTTCTGTCCTAATCTCTTTTTCTGCTTTGTTTACCATCCCGCCTTCTGTTGGCCGCACCTGTTCCACTGTCTTTATTTCTGCCCGTTTAGTTCAGTTGAACTTGTGCCGTTTCAGATTTATTTGGACTGTTCAAGATTTCTGGGGATGATTTTTTTTTTTTGGGGCTGATTTGAATAGTCGGTTGTTGCTCTATAACCTTTGACCATGCGTTGCATCCTGCAGTCACTTTCAGCCCAGTGGGGAAGCCTGTCGTCTTTGTTTTCAGTAGACCGATAAAATCTGTCTTGAAACATGTTTCCTTAGTTCATATATTGCACTAACGGACACAGGTGGTCCTCTGGCTTTTATTCACCCATCATTCCTTCAAGTCCTGAGAAAAACTCCAATGCAGCCGTTCAGGAGGTCTGAGTTTATTCCAGCCTCCCTTGTCTCTTTCTCTAGGGTATTTATTCTTTAATGATGAGTGTAAAATGTTCTACGAATGTTTCTTTTTTTTTTTTGGAGGGGGGACTGAACAAATGACTGATTTGCTGTTGTGAAGTAAAGTGTGATTTGGAAACGTAAAGGTTAAGCTGTTATGACGCTCTATAATGGCAGAGTTGCATTTATTAACTCTTACCACTAGGGGGCGGGTGATTAAACAGCCCTGGAGCACAACACTCTGAGGAAGATGTTTCATTTTTATATTTTATAATTAGCTTAAATTATTAAATTTTTTAAGAACCTGTTGATTGTTCTCTGAATTTTTGTTTTTTCTTTCTCGCTGCTTATTGTCCTTTGTGTGAAATCATAGGTTTTTGGTTTTGGCTTGAAAGGGGATTCGTGTTTGGATGGATGACAATCGAATAACCATTTTCAAACATGATATCACCCCAGAGATACACAAGAAAGGCTAATAATACTGATCACAGCCTGTCTGATATGCCAACTCCATGTTTGTAAAAATTAGATGGGAATTATAGTGTTCTTGCACTTCTTTTCTTTAGGAAGTTTGGGGTTGGCATCTAGATACAAATTTCTAAGAGATTAAAATGTTATTCTCCAAGCACCTGTATATTCTTAAAGTTTTATTTGAGAGATTCAGATTTAAATTCTTATTTATAATAATCTTTTATGTGCATGAACTTGCCAAATTAAGGTGATTCGGATTCTCAATAAGAATTTTAGACAGTCAAAATATATTTTTAGCATCTAAAGGGAAAATAATTGTTAGAAACACTTGAATAAATAGTTTTCCCCAATTATCCGATCAATCGACACTAGAGTTTTTGAGTGTGGATAAAGTTTAATAAACCAATAAACCTGTTTTAATAATGCATCTTGTCCTTTTGCCTCAACCTGGCTTTTCGCACTTTTTATTTGTCATTCCTTACGGTGTGGGCATTTCTGCCTCGGTGTGTTTCTGTTTTTATTTTACCGTGTTGTTGCACTGGCAGCTGTTGTCAACCTGTGCAATGTGTGAAGGGAAGGTCTGTGAGGTGAGCAACAAACAAACACACAGATGTCCTGCTCACTCAAAGCTAGTTGTGCACACACTGTATGTCAAGAAAGGGAGATGGATGCAGTGCTGCAAATGGAAGAATAATTATTAATAAAACTATTTGCATTGTTCAGTTTGGCTCTTTTATTTTGTGGGGGTTGGGGGGTATACTTTTTTGTATAAGTTTGTATATTTTTTATTTGAGATCAATATTTTTTTTGATCGAAATATTGAATTAATTTATGCGCCTTTTGGCAGATTAGCATTTCTTTTTAATAAAATTAATCAAAGGTTATTTAATAAGCTGCCCAATTTAATTCACCAATTGTCAAGCCTGGTGATAAGAACAAGATAGAAAAAATAATTCCTCATGGGAAAATAATCGATTTTGCCAAGACAAAACATTTAGCCATAAATTTGCTTGATGACGACAACAAAAAAGCCCTGAGTTTGGATCAAACTTTCACATCAGTACCTCTTTTTGAATTTAATTGAACATGTATTTATCTAATTAGGGATAAAAATGTCCCCTGGTTATGTAATGGTTCATTAAAAATACCAACAAATTCAGATTATTACAGTGTATTCTAAACTGTTCTCCAAGCAGAGGTAGATAATCCAGGTACAGATTATCCGCCTCTGACTTTAATTCTCAAGTCAAGAAAGACACCAATAGAGTAAATTTAGTGTTTGCAACATTTCGGCAAATAAGACATAACTGAAGCAGCAAATATTTTTTTTGTTCCATTATTATGTGACAAATTCATCAATGTCTGACAAGTTTAAGCCAAACTATTAGAAACCATTACAGTCAATGGAAAGAGTCTGTGAGCAATCTCTCATATTCTCTAAAAAAATATACATTTTTTAGTTTGCAGAATCTGGTACTTGTTAATGAGACACTTCACGGTCTAACTTTACCGTCTCTGTAGGAATGTATCCACCTTAAAGACGGTCTGGGCACACGATCCTAAAGCAGAGGAGGCTGTGCTGTTCTGTTCAGAAATGGCACCTTTGGTCAGATTAGTTTTTTTTAGTGAGAGCAGCTCACTCCTGGAACAATGCTCCTCCAAACATCAGGAACATTTCAACGCTTCAGCAAATCAGGGAAACTCTGGTTCCAGAATAATCAGACCTACAGTGACAGCGTTGACCTGTGGTCTATTTTTAACAGTTGATCTGAATAAACTGTTTTATTTTTTTGTATGTGGCCTGCCTTGTTTGTAAACATCAACCTGCCATAGGACTACACAGATGATTATTAGCCTCCTTGGCTAACACTGGCATATTTACATGGGGACTCATGATGTTGACTAAAGGTACCCTATTATGCAAAATTCACATTATAAACAGTGTGCCTTTCTCCACCTCTTAGCTAATGTGTGCTGAAAATAGCATGTTTGAGAAATCATTCCCTTTATGATGTCATTAGGGGAAATAGAATGTCTAGGCTCTGGCATTCCTCTTATGTATTATACCACCAAAGGCTACCTTTACAGACTGACTGGTTGTCATGGATGCAGGTTCTTGGGGCATGGCCTTTGGTAGAATGGGGGTGTGGAAAGCCAATACTTTAATTTTAACCGAACTTTATTGATCTCACAGTGGAGAAAGTTATCTCCACAATTAAACCATTCCCTTGGGGAGCCGTGGGAGTTTAGGGTCTTGCTCAGACAGCCAGAGTTGTAGTCCTTGGGAGTGGGGCTCGAACTCAGAACCTTGGGATTCCGAGCTCTATGCCCTAACCAGACCACCACCGCCCAAAAAAGCAGGGAATCCAGAGGAGGATATTTCTTTCGTAAAGGCTGCCTGCTTAATCTGAGAGGAATTTTCTTTCACAAACAACAAAAAAACATGCGCTGTGTGCCTCATTGTTAATATTTTTTGTTTTCAAATGTAGAATAATGTGGGACATTTCATATGCACCGTGCTATTTCAAATAAATAAATATATATACCTATAAGACCTGATTATATTCAGTTTCTATTAAAAGAAAATAGCTCTATTTCAAAACCGTATTGTATTCTTTTTACAAGGCTGAGAAGCAATTACATTGTTTTTCTTATATTAAATATATAGGCTACTCAGTTCTTTGTAAGATCGTAGAGTATTTTTTATCTTCTCTGTTATTGAATCAGAAAGCTGCCCTTCACTTCATCCATAGTTTTGTGTCTGTCTGATTGGTTTGCTTTCTCTTCATATTGCCTATGAAGAGAAAGCAATTAATGTGTATTTCTCCCTTTCATCAATAGAGGTCCCACTTTCCCTAACTTAAAACCTTTGATTTTCCTCTCTAGAGAAAGACTTTCAGGGGGACAAAAATATCCTGTATATTGTTTTGAAGAATTAGCCATTTCCTTTAAAATTCACACTTAGTCAGCACTGTTTTTCTGCTGCAGATATTTGCGGTTTTGTCCTCCTGATACATCATCTGTTAATGTTGAGAAACAACATCCGTCCTAACTTGTGAGGACAGCAGCTGCGTCTCAGCTGACCTCAGTGAACCACAGCCATGACTGTTTGTTTCTGAGAAGTCAGAGCTGTTTTATAGCTCCAGATTTTAAAACCATATGTTTTTTTTCGTCATTACTTTAACTCCATTGGCTGAAAACCAGGTGGGTGGATCAAAAGTCAAAGCAAATATCAATCCAACCTTTGCCAGCCTCTGTCAGTTTGTTCACCTTAGTCTGCTAGTAGGCTAAGGTCTTGAAAGTTGTTTCAAATATATTCATCTTGCAGCTGTATGTCCTCATAGAACCATGAAGACCAAAGTTCTCTCTGTCGCTATGGTGATGATGTGTGTGATGGTGGTCCAAGCAGTGAAGCCACAAAAAGATTTCAACTTGCAGAAGGTAAAACTCACATCTTGTGTTTTCAGTGATTATTTGATCAATCTTGGAAACAGAATCTACTTTGTGATTATCAGCCACTGATTGGTGACACTAACAAGCTGCTTTTAGTAATAAGGATTGATGTTTAACACATGAGATGTTGAGAGATGCAGAAAGGTGTATCATGTGGTAGAATGATTTCTAATAGAATATTGGCTTGGCTTTATAAGACTATTTCAGATCTTTCAATAATGTCTTTAAAGCTAAATTTTCCACAAATGTTTAAGTAACAAAAAAAGGATGGAAAACGGATGTTATAGTATATTAGACATAGTGGAAGAAACGGTTGTGTTCATCATTAATTTGTTAAGATGTTTTTAAAATGAAGGTATGAAAAGATGCTGTGACAAAATGCTGTAGTCTTTGAGTTTTGTTATGCTGGTGAACGTTTTTCATCATGATCGTAAACAGCTCATGTACGTTAATTTTAGTAAACCGCTATGCCTCCTTATATAGTCAACAGGTTTGCAAATGTTTACCCACCAAACACTATCCTCTCCTAAAAACAGGGAGCTACATTGAGACTTAAGAAATGACATGAGACTTTCATAAATCAGTAAACATTTTTGGCCAGTTTTGAATATTTACACACTTTATTGCTTCCATGTAATCTTCATCTGTAAATGCATGTATTGATCCACTTCTGTCAATACTTCTCTGGAAAACATGTCATGAAAAAACGTTAACGTTTAAACGTGTACATTTATATCGGTGTACCATTAGATGCAACAAACACTACTTTACAGGAAGTAGTAGAGCGATCTCCCCCTACCTAGGGCAACATATGAAGGTGGTTATGCTTAAATTTTGTGACTCGCATGTCTTGAAATTAGTTTGTATTAGTTTTAGCTTATATCGGAATCGGAACTTCAGTGTTTGGAATATCGGCATATCAAATATCGGCAAATATCGGCAAAAAAGGCAATATCATGCATCCCTAATATCTCCCTTATATATATATATATATATATATATATATATATATATATATATATATATATATATATATATATATATATATATATACCTGCAGATCCTCCCTACCAACTCACCCCCAACCCGGTGCTTAAAAACTAATAACTAATGATAGGCAACTGAGACCGACCATAAAGTGAAATAGACCCGAATAAAGTATTTATGAACTAATGTTAAATACTAAATAAAAGATCAAAAACAAGTGCTGAAATTCAACAGTTACATACTGGACTATTTTTTATCAAGAATTTTACAAATGTTGCATGAATCTCTAGGCAATCTCTTAAAAGAAGGAAGCGCAGTAATCTTGACCTCATATTTGGAAAACAAAATGTCTATAAATCATATAAAACTAAGGTTTTTCATATTCCCCCAAGAACTTTTAAAAAGCTTTATATGAAAGTGAGATTTCCATCTCAGAGTATAAGAGTATTGTATTGTATGTTGTCTTTTTATGTTAATCCTTATGGATTTTCCTCTAAAAATATTTCTTAATTTTTTTGTATTTTCCTTTTGCAAAAGATTTAATAATTTCAATGACAATTCAAAGTAGCAAATCTGTTTTCAAAAGGAAAATAAACAAATATAATTTGCACATTTTTCTCTTAAACCCCAACCCTGAAATAAAATCTTCTATCTTTGTCTTGTTTTTCATTTCAAATATTTTTTGTGCTTTAATGTGTGCTAAGTTTGCAGGTAAATGGTACCGAGTTGGCCTCGCCTATGACTCTCCTGGCTTTGAGCGCATGAGAGACAAAGTGAAGATCTCCATGGGGATTGTCTCAGTAATGCCCAGTGGCAATGTCAACCTGACAATGTGGGAAGCACTGTGAGTCCCAATAAATGCTTGGCTGATACATTTAGTCATGACATACAGCCACAACCTTTTATATTCAACCTGACAGCAAGGGAGAGAGATGAGCTGTTCAACTCAACCCTTTTTCATTCCACCTATAGCCTTATTTATAAAAAGTTATACACACTAAAATACAACTACATCTCCCTGTTTCTCTTTTTGCTTCAGAACTGGATTCTGCATGCTTAAATTTTACCAGTATAACAAGACAAACGTGCCTGGACGGTTCACCTACTACAGCACCCGTGAGTATTTTCAGATTTCATCGCGTGACACAAAAACTGACTGTTAAAATGAGAAGAATCATAATCAAGTTTTATTAACAATTAATTAACTGTTACACCAATGATGGATTTCTTTCCAGTGGTACAAGACACAGCAAATGTGTATTATGTCACGCATATAATAAACAGACATAAAAATAAACCTCCATACATGATGTAAAAGTATGTACATTACAAGGACAGATTTAAAAGTATATCCTAAAGGAGTGAGGAGTGTAAAATGCTAAAAGCTTAGAAGTTGACAAGGTGCAATGCATGTGATATACTTATTCAGACTGTGGAGGATGTTCAGCAGCATTGAATAGTCTATGTCTGTGTAGGCATGAGACAAAATCTATAAATATTTGAGGAGTGACTTTTCTTGGATCAGTGACTTCCTCTAGATAGAGAACCTCACATCTGCCCCACTGATCCTCAACCCAGGCATGCCACAGGGTTGTATCCTCAGCCCTTCCTTACTTTCTTCACACACGACTGCTCTCATATCAAACATGGTTTGAAAGGTTGGAGACCATCGGCGTTGGCAGACCCTTTTCACAGGGGCACGTGCCCCATTGTGGATCTGCGGTGCCTGGATATGCCTGGGGCACTGATTTTTTTCTTAATTAATTTTCCGCTTTCACAGCTCTGATCACAAAGCAGAGTTGAGAGAGGAGAACTCTACAAAATAAGCCAGTCACTACTGATTGCAGCTTCGCAAAAATGAAGCTGGCATGGGACGCTACCGTTTACTGTTAAAAAAATTAACATCCAACTCTCCCATCTTTCTGGCCATAATATCCTCACCTCATAGGACCATTACTATCACATCATCATACGATGGGCCCAAATCGAAATGATAAACACAGACATGTATGTATGTATGTATGTAGCTGTGTTTTTTTCAAGTTCATGTTTGCTGATACATATTTAATGAAGATAATTTGTGCCTTCATCAGTAGTAGATTAGAGATATACAGTTAAGTTCACAAGTGGGCCAATTCAATTCTGTTCGGTTCAGGTAGATATTTAATGATGCGGAAAATAACAATCGGATTGCACAATTAATTTATGACGATTTATAATAGTAAGTTTATAATAGTAAATAAGTGCTATGAAATATTTGCTCACGCTTGCATTAATTATCTGGGCCCATGCTTTTTTAAAATAAATAATTGCCCAAAAATTGCCTTGCGCGCTCGCATTTTCTTTGGTGCCCTATTGTGCCCCTGTATAGTGTTGGGTCAGCTGACGATGGCACCATGATGGTTCTCATAAACAACAACTACTACAGAAAAGAGGTTAACAGACTCACACAGTGAGGTTCAAAGAATAACATTATCCTGAGTATCAGCAAGACCAAGGAGGTTTAAGTAGACTACAAGAGGCCCAAGGCAGAGAACTGGCTCTTCTCTGCATACGTGGGGAGGCAGACAATATGGACAACAAAGTTATTCTGCATTCTAGTAACTCCTAGAAAACCAAACAACCGCTCTTTTTAGACGGCTGGAACGGACTAGACTATCTTCTTAGCCTCTTGCATGGTTAGATGTGGTGACAACAGAAAGCATCCTGTGAGTACGTGTGACAGCATACTCTGGGAGCTGCATGGCACAGGAGAGGATGGACTTAGCTCAGGTGGTGAGGACAGCATATCTACTAGAACTGAACTCACCTCAAGCTACGTCAGTCCAGAAAAGGGCCAGATGCATTGCACAGATTCCTGGTCAATGCACTATTGCAACACCTTCATCAGTCAAATGGGACATAAATATTTAATCCCAAAGAAACAGGCTTGAAAAAAGCTGATTTTTCTGGGAAAGATTTTACAAATTCAATCTCCTTTAGCCACACGCCCACATGTTCACACACATGCTCCTGATGGGAATGAAACGGATCATCAGCCCATCTCTTAGACTGCTGGTAGTAGCAGCACACGCTACACCCCTGATGAAAATCATTCCTATCTACATGCTTTATACATAAGCTTTATTTTGTCATTGCAATTTATTTTATTTTATTTATGTCTTTATAATTCCATTAAATGTGACATTTGAATTTAACCCATCACTTAGTGTTTGGCTTTAAGCATCTGGAGAGCAATCTGGGGCTAAGGGTTTTGCTCAGAGAATGAGAGTGGCAGTCTGTGAGGATCAGACTGGGTTTCTAAAGCCTTCTCAGAACATCTACACTCTGCTCTAAGCGCTATGCCACCAAAGTTTTACACATTTTCTTCTAAGGGGTTTTATATTTTGTATTCTATTTATTTTTCTGAGGATGGTTATATTTCCAAAACATGTCTGCAAGGATGTTTTATATTTTCAACAAATGCTTAAAAAATTTTCAGCACATTAATGTATGTGTGCCTTCTAAGTCAGGAGATACATTTTAGTACGTTTTTTATTATGACAATAAAGATTTTTTTTTATTATTCTTAAATCTTATGGTCTTCTTCCAACTGCTGTTAAATTAACAAATTTGTTTGTTTTTTTTTCTTTCCAGGCCATAGCATTGTGAAGGACATCACTGTAGTGGACACAAACTATACTGAATACGCTGTGGTTCTTAAGTACAAGAATTTTAACAGAGAATACACACAGGTGGCTCTTTACGGTGGGTTCCAGAGACATACAGGAAGCAAACATTTATATTTTAATATCTGCGTCACATGTGATGTCATGAGTCAGTGTAGCTCATCCGCTTCTGTATTACAGCTCGCTCACCAAGAACCAGCATAGAAGTGATGCAGAAGTTTAAAGCCTTTGCTTTGTCTCGTGGTTTCCCCCGAACATCTATTTTGAGTCCTCCTCCAGCAGGTAAAAAATTAATATTAAACTTTTTCACTACATATTTTTTATTTCTTTTTTTCTGAAACAGTGAATATGGGTTTTTTATGGCTTTAAACATCAACAGTACATGAAGTAAAGGCTTGAAATATTTTACTCTGTGTAACGAATTAGTATATTATATGACTATCAGTTCCTGGAAATAGGGAAAACATTTTTTCACTTTTTTCATTATATTCAAAGAGTTTTAGTTGTGTGTTAATGGCTGGAAATGTTCTCTTTAAATTTACCCAAATGTTTTTGTTTTTTTGTCATTAACAGAGAACTGTCCAGCATCATGATCTGGACATTAGGTGAGAGTCAATATGATTGATTTTCAAAAGAAAACTAGAAAAAACGTCTCTGTAAATGTCTGTAAAGTTTAAATTAATCGTTTCTTTTCTGTTTTGTTGTTTTTTCTCAGATGAAGCAAATGGAATTTCCTCTGATCTACTATTTTAACTTTAATTGCTTGATAGTTTAGATTGTGTAGAAGCCTGTGGCATGCATGTGTGCAGGACATTTTTTCAGAGAAATATTTCCCTTCTTAAAAACTGTTTTTTTTTTATTCTGAAATGTCTTTTTTAATCTCTCGATGCTTGTTGCACCTTTAAAACACCTTTATTGAATAACTTGAGACTTGCTAAAAACTACTAAAAATGAAATCTTGTTTTGATACTCCTCAGCTCCAGATGCAACTGTCTGCAAACCTTAGATATGCAGAAACTTTCAGGTCACTGAAATGAGGACTAAAATATAACTGCATCTTGCAGATAAAAGTTTTTTGTCATTTCCTTCATGTTCTTTTTTTATTTCCTCAGATGTTATTAACTTTGCGGGTTATTCTTTTACATGATTTTCTCCCATGTTTCTTTTTCTTCCAATGTATATTCTGTATAAGATATCTTTTCTTGAGTTTTGTTCCTTTTTTCATCATGTAAAGGACATCAGATTACCTTATGCATAATAGTGTTAATAAAAGCTCATACACCACTTTAGAAGTTTGAAAGTTTTCAAGACTTATAACAAATAAATACAAAAGGATAATTATATTCTTTGAACATTAATAGTTTGAAGGTAGGGGGCAATTATAGCATAGTATAAGATCCAGTATCTTGGACAACAATTGGAAAACAGTTAAACACCTTTCAAATGTCAAACATCACAGATTTCCTTAAAGCTCTAAGGTGAGATTCACATTATAGAATATATGTTTTTATACTTTAATGGAAGTGAGATACACTTTCGGCTGCATGGGTTTATAAAGGATTCTTTAGCACTATGGAAGAAAAAAAAAAACTATTTAATTGCTCATGTGTGTTTTAAGGCTTTGATCACCACCTCAGGTAGGAGACCGACAGTAAATAGTAACAAGCAGAGGTTAAGTAGGATTGCATTATTAAATGCTGCAAAGAGCCATGCAAAAATCTGGTTTCTCTCACATCTGATTAAAAGGATTTAAAATCACAGCAATGGTTACACTGGAAATTGTATCTGCTAAAAACCATAAGCTTTAATACCTGGTTACACCAATATTACTGGCCCATACCTGCTTGGCAAACATTTTATGAACAAAAGCTTATAGACTGTATTTATAAAGATTATATAAAGAAAAAAAGTTAGAACTGTAAATTTACTGTCATTTTTACTATTTTTTAAGGCTGCACTTTAAAAAAAGATGAAATTGTCCAGAGAGCTGTTCCAAACGAAATTTCTTTTTTTGTTTTACAAAAAAAGAAATTTTAAAAAGAAATTTTTTCTTTTTAAAAAGAAATTTTATTTGTCATTTTGTAAACAAAATGACAAATAAAATCTCTCTAAGACTAAGACTAACACAGAAACATGTTGAAAGGTTAATGAAAGTGGCAGCCAGCCTGAAGAACTTAAATCTAACAACCTTTGCCTCAGTGAGAGCATTAAAAAAAATTTAAAATTTTCATATGACCATGCCGTATTTCATTGTGTACAGGACATAAAGTCAACTAAGCGGTTTGTTGGAATGAGTCACTTTTGTAATCTCAAACTTCATCAAAGTGGATCAATGTGATTCTAGATAAGTGGCAGCCTGTAATGATATTATTACAGATCCACCCGCAGCAGCAGAACAGCCCTTTTCCCCACTAACCAGCTGTTAAAACCTAACAGATATTGATTGGTTACATGTTTGGGGATGGCTTCAAACTCTGAAGTCCAGAGGTTTATTTCTGATTAGTCTGAACAACAAACACTGGAATAGTGATGCTCTGACCTTTGCTCTTTGTCTTTGAAAGCGGGTGGGGAAAATGGGGATTCAAAAAGCAAACATTTGATGGTTAGACCTGAAAAGGCCCAGACTTGGCCAAGGCACATATTTTAGGATGCAAAGGATGGTGCTTCTGCTAATTCTAGTGGTGCTTGTCGGATCAATATGGTCCCTCCAGATGGACCCCGTGATGGGAAAGAGTCCAGTAACAACACAGGAGAACTTTGATTTGAAACAGGTGGGTGTGGATTATAGTAAGTAATTATTTGCTTCTGCTCTTTGTTAATGTATTATCATTTCAGAATATTTTTTGACCGTATGATTTTTTTTCCCTTTTCTTTTTTTTTAACAGCCAGTTTATTTAAAATAGATTTTCTTTGTGTTATTAACCACCTCTGTGAAAACTTTTTACATTTGCCACATCAGTTCTCCTGCAGATGGCCTAGATGTAGAGCAAGGTTGTGTATCTTCCTTTCAGTTTACAGGACGGTGGTTTGAAATAGCTGTGGTGTCTACATGTCCTTACTACATGCAGCGCAAACAGAGAAACCCTACCATTGTGGCGCTGGAAGTGAATCATGTCCCTCCTCAGGAAAACTTTACAATGACAGCATCCACCTTCAGGTCAGGCTCCTGACTTTTGTGTTGATATACTGTATCATTGTTAAGCTTTTTGTATGATCTGTACTGTTTCTTTTTCAGTAATGGCACATGTAGGGAGACATTGACAGATTTTAGTTTGACCAGCACTCCAGGGCGATTCTTTCACCATGTTGCAAGTAGGTCCCTCTGCATACCTTCCCCTACAGCCTTTTTATGTCATGTTAAGTGGGTTAAAAAGATTTTACAAAGCAGAGCATACAAACATTTGTTCTAACATTAAATAAATGTTAGAACATAGTTCAACATAGTCCAAGCTTTCTTAATCAAGTAAACAAAGATGAAGCCAAAATGGGAAAAAAAAAAAAATGCCTGTGTAAAATTCAGAACAACCAAAGCTTCTAAGCTTACACCCTTTTAGCCACAATAAATATCAAATGTCTGATTTTACGAGTCTCACATTATTACTGAACATTTTTAACCATTCAGCTTGATTCAACCAATTATTGTGTGCAGACTCTAGTTTTGCATCAGGCTTAAGTTTGGACTTTGCAGGTTCATGTTAAAACCTTTCAGGATTTCTGGAGTTGATTTCCAGCGTTGCCTCAGCTCCTTCTGCTGTCTGTGACTCAGACAAGGCTCATCTTTAGCTGCTCAATATATAGTCTCACGTTTGACCCTGGAAGATTTTGGTTATTTAACTTATTTCTTTATTGACTCTACTGCTCCAAGGTGCTCTAATCCTGTGACTATAAAACAGACCTGGATCACACCACTGATTTGAAAAATTTCTGCTGCTATCATGTGTGTTGGGATTTCATGCAACATGTTTAAATTTTTTCCTAAACTCTTAAGCTTCATTCACATGCAGGCAGCTATTCAACCCTAAGTTGTTCTGCCCTGTTCGTTTTATAAAGAAGAGTATTTTCATTCCAACTAAATTATACTTCTTCAGGCTTTTTCTACTAAAATATCTCAACTTATTACCTGGGATGTGTGGAATATGAGATATGGCTCTTGGGATATTTCTTTGAGATTGATCTGACCATAGAATAATCTTGGAGGGAGGTCCTTTACCTAATTTCCTTTTAGGATTAATAAAATATTTTTGTACTGAACTCAACTGAATTTTTCTTCTAAGGTGCCTCTGAATAATGATTAACTTAAGATACAGATGTTTTTTCCTTACTTGCCACAAGGTACAGAAATTTGGCATTTATGAGTTGTAACATCTACTTTCTCTCCTAAAGACGAGGTAAACATTGGGGTGTTCTTATATATTTACACGCAGCTTTTTCTTTTTCATTTTGCCTTCATTGTTCAACTGATAACAGTTTGTAATGTGCTTTTTGCTTTAGTAAATTTGAAGCTAGAATAAATAATTGTAGACCTCATGTTTTTCTTAGGTTCTTAAAATGTGCAGTCCTACCACTGAAAGAGGTTGCACTATCCTTTAGCTAATTATTTTTGTGAAGCGGTACCAGTGGTATGAAATGTAACCTCCCCTCTGCAGGATTTGGAGCAGATGTCGATTCCTTCGTCGTTCACACCAACTATAATGAATACGCTCTGTTGCTGCAGCTGAGCACAGAGAAACCATCAGGAAATCAAACCACCATAGTCAAGCTTTACAGTAAGTCACTGACTTCTGCGCAAAGCTCAGACCTAACTCAGACCTATTTTACCGACATGTTTCTTCTAACAGATTGTGACTGGAATCTGATCTAGAACATGCTGAGGTAGTTACAGCTTAGGGTGATGGTTAGAAGATCTTCCAAACTACAAGAAAGCAAATTTGCAAAGATAAATCATCAATAAAACCCAGAAAAAAATTAAAAACCTTGCACAGTAATTATAGGAAATATTGCTGTAATTCCAGTGAAGACTTCATGGATTATTGAGCATGTTGTGGATTTTTTGTTGTTGATCAATTCAAAGTTTACCAACAATTATTTTGCTGTTTTAGTGGGGTATGTTTTGCACTATTACCTGCAGCTAAATATTCCGTCATATGGAAAGAGCTTTTGTGCTGTCTAGCAGTATTCTTTATAACAAACTATGTTAAATGTAGCTATTTTGCACACAACATACCTAAATTTATGTTTGGTTTATGCTATATTTAACCACAATGTCTACTTTTGTAAATAAATTTAGGCAGAAACAAGCTAATAACAGGACCCTCTAGGCAGGAGACATGAGTCTTTAAACTATTTCTAGTCTCCTTTGTTAAAGTCAGAGGTGTCAAAAGTATACATTTTTCTTCCTCAAGTAGAAGTAGAAACCCTACTGTTCAAAAACACTTTTGTTGAAGTTAAGAGTTTTAACTTAAGCTTTTTACTCAAGAAAAAGTGTTCAAGTATCTTTTTTCAAAACTTCTTAAATTATAAAAGTAAAGGAAAAAACATTTAAGGGCCACTTTACCCAATTAAAGGAAAATTCTTTCTACAATTCTGGATGGTAACTTCCTTACAATAATTTTTTTTTAGTTTTATAACTAATGGCAACAGTTTCAAATTTAACTTTGCATCACCTTGAAAAACTATTTATGTTGGTATGTGGGACCACAAGTTGGCACAATCACAATCACAAAGAAATTAATTGTCTGATTGTTTTTTATCATTTTCATCTTTTTTTTTATTTCAACAGACCATAACGAAAATCAACTTAAATGAGATTAAAAAATAATTACTCCTGTGAAGTATAGATAGCCAACAATTCTACTTAAGTAAGGTAACAAAATGTTTGTACTTTGTTACTTGACACCTCTGGTTGAAAGAGAAAGACAATAAACGGTTTCTTTCTCAGGTCGAACTGTAAGCGTTAATCTTCCTGTTCTGGAAAAATTTAAAGAACTCATCAGACATCATGGACTGAGTGAAGATGCTATTATCATAAATCAACATGAAGGTATTCTTGACACTTAGTTCCCTTTTCAACTGTTTTTAGTTACATTGTACACTGTTACATTGAAAGATATTGCATGAATTAATAACGATGAAAGCTATGCATTTTGTGCTATACTGCTTATATTCTATGTTTTAGTTTTTCTCTGTATTCTAGTTAACTCAGATTTGTTGAAGCATTCATTGCATTTTTTTTCTAATTTTGTCTTAAAGGTAAGAATGAAAGGCCAATATTTCTGTTCAATAAGGTTTAATTTATTTTTGTTTTCCCAGGGGACTGTTTTCCAGGTGAACAATGGAAGGAGGCAGCTACCAGCCATCAGGTAGTTGCATCATGGATCATTATGTGACACACTCTTAATCCAGTAATTATCAATAACAGGTGCGTTTCTGTTGTTTTTGTTTCTGTAGGTTTTTGTTCATGAAAACTCCAAACTGAATATTTCTGCAAAGGAGAACCAAGGTGATGTCTGATCAGGTGACAAATGGGTCAGTGGTAGAAATTTGCCACATTGGTTCACATTTGACCGGGATGTTAGAGACTCTACATGAAACACAGCAGCAGGAGGAAAAGAACAATGATGAACAACCTAACGAGTAAAAGCCATTAACTACATTTTTACTGATAATGGAGTGCAGTCTTTCAATTTCTCTGTTTTCTTTTTTATAACAAAGTCTGTATCTTATCTTCAGAAAGCGTTTTTCTTTACTTTAGATTTTCAAATGCTTTCCACAGTGAGAACGCAGTGAAGCAGCTGATTTTGTTTGCAACAGGACACAGTTAACTTTTTATTTTCATTATTTTCTCAGTTTCTTGTTTTATTTTTTGTCATTTTTTGTTTTTTATCAATATAGGATTTACATTTTTTTTACTTTATTTTGTCTTTCTTTGTATCTTTTTAATGATATGATTATATATGTATGTATGTATTTACTTTGTATGTCTGTAACTTTTTAAACAACTCAATGGTTGTCTTGAATTGAAACGCATAACGATTATGTGTAGTCATATAAGGTAATATTTGGTGTTTTTGCAGTGAAATGAATAAAAGGATGTTTTCATGTTAAGATGACCATTAGGATTTTATTCACCAGATATAAGAATTGTTTTAACACTTCAGAAGAACTAAATATAAAAAAGGTTTGCCTACAATAATAAAGAACTATTAGTTTGAAAATTCATTTATCTATTTATTGCTGCATTAATACAATGTCTTATGAAACAAGTTTTTTGTTACTTATAATATATGCTTTCCCTCTTTGTGGAAACTTTGAATCTTTTTTTAAAATGTAACATAACTCACTATCTCTTGTTCTGTGGAGATAATTGGATAAAGCTGAACACACAGAATGATGGTGCAGCTGGCAGATGTGAAGATCACAGCAACTGTGAAGATGAGTTTCATTGAAGAAGATGGCATTATCATTTCTTGGTGGAATTTTAGATTATGTTATATATGGTTTGCAGGAGCAAAGACAGTCATGCATTGCCTGGCATGTGTGCTGGTCAGCTGATGTCAAAAGCAACAGATATGAGAAAATACTTCATCCTGTAATGTGTTGCATGAATAATTGTAATGAATAGCCATCAGAGAAAATTTAAAATTTAACGCATGCAAAGATTTTTATATATATATATATATATATATATATATATATATATATATATATATATATATATATATATCTTTTTACTCCTTATTGCCTAACACACCATATAAACAATCTTCACTTGAATTTTAATCAATTTAGTCAATTCTAATCAATCTCATAATAAATCGTGATTTAACTGCGTGTCACTTTTCACTAATGATAAAGAAAAAAAATATTGATTGAATATATTATTGATTTATACTGTAGTTTTAAAATATAAGTGTGAGCAATAAAATGTTTTGCATCTTTTCCGATTACAACCACAAACTTCAGTGTGTTCAGAAATTTAAGCTGACAAAAGTCATGCATGTTCTTTTGTTTGTAATGTTATACCGTTAAATATTTTATAGAGAGAGTATGACAAAACTTAAAAGGACATTAAATGAGTTTGGCGGAGCTGCAGAGATAAAAAAAAAAAAATTCTGGTGGTAGAGCTTCTTAATAGAACAACTACCGGTATTAGCTATACGCTCAACTAACCTGGCCTATGAAAAATGGTGACCGCTGATAAAATAAATCATCAAGTCCTATTTTCTGCTTACCATGTAGGCAACAGAAAACATGTGAAAGAAAGATTGTACTGTGTAGTTTTTATTAACTTTTTATTTATTAAAAAAAAGATAAAGTGAAGCATGGACATAAGACTTTCTGACATTACTGCATCAATACACCCTACCAGCATAATAACACACACTGGCAGCATCTGGCTACCAGAGGTGTTTTTTCTTTTTTTTTTCTTAGCAGGGAAAAGAGAGCTGAAGGAATAGAAAGGCATGCAACACTTTTCAGATTTCTTTAAACCATTTGAGAATCAATCATATACCCCATCACAATTATCTGAATCTTTGTGTAATTCCACACCTCCACCATCTAAATACATACAGAGAAGTTTCATGTTGCCTCATGATAAAATGCAAGAGTTCCAGGGATGTGATTATTAGTTTGCGTTTCTGTAACACTGAAGCAAAGTAAACATTTCAAAAGGCAGTGATCAAAGGTACAAAAGTATGCTGGGTGCTTTTAATTTGACTTGATCAGCATTCTCCCTTTTTGATCAGCAGGAGGTGCTGTAACTTCTGGAAACAAGCCTATCTAGGCGCCTGAAAAGCTGAAGCCATTATCTAGAAATGATTTCATGTTAAACTGCATCAGACCAACTCATGTAGATCTCTTTTTCATTTGAAACCTTTTAGTAAAAAACAAAAGCAAAATGTTTCCTTGCAATTTTAGGAACAACAATGATGTATGGATGAATCAGGCCACTTTCTGCTTATATTCATGCTAGATGATTCTTTAAATCTACTGGCTTTATTCTGCAATCATTTTTTCCCATAGGAGAACTAACTAACATAATATATCAATAGTTCTTGGAGATTGTCTAGCCAAACTGTGAAAATACACTAGGAAATGCAGGAATATTTTTGGGGGGCCAAATAAATCTATGCTTTCATGCAAAATCCAGCCACGTATGTAAGCATAGATTCATAATAATCCTCATAGACATGACCTCCCTGTTTCTTTTATTAATAAATGTATTGATCTGCCAATATTGCAGCAGCTCTGAAGTCCAATGTTTGAGTGGTTCACAGCCCGTGCTGGTAAATCAAACTAAAACTGAGATAAACACAAAGACAGAACTTTGCTCCTTTACATGTTTGTGTGTTTTTGGAAGCTGGGCTGTGGGAGTGATTATGCTCGCAGTCCTTTACAGGTCAATGTTTAGACTCGTTCTCATCAGTCCAGAGAAGGTGTCACTCTGTTGTACTCTTAAAGGACAAGGTTAGAGATAAGTGGACACAAAGTTCTGACAAGATGAAGAGATTTGTGGTTCTGGGGACTTTGCTGGTGTTGGGATGTATAAACTGTCTCCAGGGGCTCCCAGTTCTCCCAGATCCTCTGTACAACACACAGGAGAACTTTGATCTGACCAAGGTAAGAAAAAAACACTGTTTAGTTTCGCAAGACTGTTCATCTGTAACGTAGCTGATAGCAATAATACGGTTAATTATAAAAGTGAAAAACAAGGAGGCAGATTTATCTCAAATTGTTTTGTGTCATTTTTAGTTTTTTTGCTCTAAATAATATGTGAGGAATTAAAGGATAATTTGATCCTTCAAATTCGAGAGCAAAACAATAAAGGCAATAAAAATGTTACTGCTAAATATTAAAGATAGAAAGCGAAGAGCAAAAAAAGAATACATGAATGATTTATGTTTTGGTTTGCAGTATAGAAATATAGAAGTCTTCACAATAACTTATCTGAATGTTGATTTTCTAGTAGTAAGTTGTTTTATTGTATGTCTATTGACTCTTCCTGACAGTTTTTGGGAACATGGCACGATGTTGCAAAGGCGAGCACAAGTCCCTACATGCAGCGCCTCAAGGGAGACCTGGCTATTGGCAAACTAGTGCTGCAGAAAGGCACTATGGAAGGAAAGCTCAAAATGACCCGAACTGTACTCAGGTTGGACTCAAAATACCTATCTCTAACTAAAGGGCAAAAGTACCTGATGATATTACCCAATTCATGGGTCAGCAAAAAAAAAAAGAAAACAACAACTTTTATTTACATGTGTTTGTATAATTATTTTTCAAGGGATTTGGAAATGTTACTTAAAAATATAAGAAGTTGGAAAAATACATACCGTATACGTTATCAGTAATAAGAAATATTTTAAAACATCTAAATAGTTGCATCATTTACGTATATTGATCCAGATTTTTTTTTTTACCTGTGCTTGATATTTGAGGTCAAATTCACTGATCAAACAAGGCTTTCATAACCTCAAAGAGTAATGCAGCCAAAAATGACTGTGAAAAAGGTTTAGATTAGTGAAAATGATAAGGATTAAATCATCTGGCTTCTAAGAATAATTTTATGGGGTTTTTTTTCCAATCTATCCAAATACGCTTGAATGTTACCGATGAAAAACAAACAAAAACAAACAAAAAAATTGTGATCAAGGTGAGAGCAGATGAGTGTAACCGGTTTATAGCAGTCACTGGTTTAAAAGAGTTGAACAACTTACTTACAGGGCTTTTCAAAAGTTTTAACAACCTTTACATTTTTTCAAAGGTCAGCACATTATAGCCACACACTTTAATGGATTTAATTAGTATTTCTGGAATGAAAAATCTGCAGTACATCAGTAATTATCACACTTGGGCCAATACTTTATACAACCAACTCTCGCCATCACTCAACCTAATTAAAGGCTTTTGGAGTCTCTGTCTGTCAGCCTTGCACATCAAGGGCCCATAAACTCCTTATTTAAAATAGATTAAACTCTTTCTGATTTTATGTAACTTGAAATGTCATTTAACTTTTTAAAAAGATTTAGATCTGGACTTTTACCTGGCCATTCTGACACACGTGTCAGTTGTAACCATTTCATTTGTAGCTTTAGTTTAGATATCTGCAACCTGCAGCTCCATAGCTACATCTGACTCTTGGCCAAATGAAACAAAGAACTAATGTACTAAGAAAGAAAATACCTGTCTTAGAAGCTTTAGTGTTTTTTATAAAGAGTATTTGAATTGCAATTTCACAGCAGAATGACATTGAAAGAATAAAAAAAAGTTTCTTTTAATTTGCTTGGAAATTATGTTATTATCATTTACTTACATTAAATAATATCCATAGGAGAAAATTAGTGCTTTAGCTTTATTAATCATTTTATGTTTTTCTTTATTTTAAAAGCTTAAAATGCAAATATACTGATGGTTGCTTAAGATGGCAACAGATTCCCCATGTTAGATATTTAACAAAAAAAAGGATATGCTTTATTAAAAAGTCATGTAAAATTTTGTGGTTCTCAACAACTTGTATTTGGCCGGACTCAGGGCAAAATGGTTCTTTGGATATGATCGGCTGTAGACCCCTGCTCTAGTTGTATGTTAAGGGTCCATGCCTGCTGAATGATGGGCAGCCATCCCAGTCTCAAGTCTGTTGCAGCCTGCAACATTTTACCTTCAGGATCTTCCAGTTTTTAGCTCCATCTACTCTGAACAGTTGTCCTATCTGGTTTTTAAAGCACTTCTTAAGGATATCATTTGTTCTAGATATCATTAAGGATGATCAGATTGTTGGGGGCTGAATACAAAAATATAATGTATAACAATACATCATTCTTTGCATCTACTTAAAAAGTGATTTATATTTATATTATATGTTGTGCAATCACTAGGGTTGTCAAAAGCATTGACACTCTGAAAAGGATCGATACTCAAACGCTGAATCCAGATACAATACTAACTTGGCATGGAATACTAAACGCAAATGTTGTTTGCACATTTTTTCTATTGTTAATTTTAGATTTCTAGGTTATTTGCACATTAAAACAATACTACCTCAAATAACCAAAAAAATATTGTGAAGTTCTGTTATATTTGGGTTGTTTTATATTTATTTGTACCTTTATTTAACGAATAGAATCTCTGTATCAAGTGTCACTTGAATTAAACTGTACTGTGATTAGACAGGGAACATGTAAAGAGAGGACTGGAGATTATGAGTTGACTTCCACACCAGGACGATTTTTCTACCATGTTGCAAGTATGTTCATTAATGTTGGCTTCCTCACTTTAATCTAATGTTATGAAGATTACAACAGCAAATAAATCTTGGGGGATGTTTTCTTACACCCTGCAGAGTGGGGGGCCGATGTGGATGCTTATGTGGTTCACACCAATTACGAAGAGTACGCCATAATGATCATGATCAAGCAGAGGTCGACGGGGGATAAGTGCATCTCACTCAAGCTTTACAGTGAGTGTTAATCTCAATTTCTTTTGTAAAACTGAACAGGGAAATTATCAACTCACTTTCAACCTAACACTGTTCAGTAACATAAGGCAATCATGAACTAAATGTTTGAAACTCTTGTGGTATATTTTAACACTGCTTTTAAGCAACATGTATCAGTAAAGAAATAACCAAACCATATGTCACACGTTGGTGTTTATAATACCTGAAGGAAGAACCATTGAAGTTCACTCTGGACAGGTTCCAGGTCCATCACAGAACAAAGTACCATACATGCACTGTCAAATCTCAGCGCTATTGATAGAAACTAAATAATATTTTATTGATAGGTTTGAACTGCGGAAGGATAGCAGTGTATCCAAAAAAAGAATCAATGTATCTAAGAGGAGCACATGTTAATATACAACAAGGCCCCAGGTCGGGATTTGAACAGGAAAAAAGGAAAAATCCTGAAAACTGCTCCACCATGCAGCAGGAAAAGATGCAGTCTTAAAACAAGAGAAAGCAGAAATAAGCAGTAATAAATCTATTAAATTAAACTAAAAAAATTTCTCTGAGTGCTGATCAAAACAGAATATGCAGGAAAATAAGAGAGGAAAACAGACTGGATGAAAGAAGGAAAAAATAAAACTCAAAACAGAAGATAAAATAAAAGAATCTTAATAGAAACAATATATAACTCTAAATAACTGACATAACAGAAGCCCCCCATATGAGAAGACCCATCTAATTTTGGTAGCAAAAAGAAGTACAGCACCTCAAACCCTATTGAGTATGGATGAATATCTGTGATGCTTTGGGCCTGTTTCTCTTCCAAATGCTCGAAGACCATTGTTTAGAGCTGTTTAAAAGAAATTGGATGTTTTAAAAATAGAGATCTGTCCTCTGATAGATAAAGATCCAAACTGTAGCCACATCAGGACAGATGGTTCAGAAAAGACTAAATAAACCATATTTAATGGTGATCGCAATCACCTAATAAACAAAAGTAGATATAAATCCTTCAGAAGGCTCAAGGATTGTGATGAGGATAAAGATGATAAGAATGGAACCAAGATTCTGGGTGATCTTGAGAAATTGTCCATATAGGATTGATCAATTATGTTTCTCTCAATGCTTTAATCCTGTGGGATATGTGCGAGATTTGACAGCGGGGAGCTAATAATAGTGGTTTAGGGATTTTTATAAATATTTTTCTGTTCTCTGTAGGTCGAACAAGGACTGTGAGACCCTCTGTGCTCGAGGACTTCAAGACACTGGTCAGGGAACAAGGAATGGGGGATGACACCATTTTCATTAGAAAGGACAAAGGTGGATGAACAGAGCTGCATGCAGTCACATGTTAAAGACTTCTCTGCGGTTGTTAAAAAGGCGGCATATTTTTTCTTAAATTTCAATACCTCAGACATCCCAACATGTATTATTAATTAAGCACATGCTGTCTCTAAAGTGTCCATTTTGTCTGTGTGCAGGTGACTGTGTTCCCGGAGAACAGGTGGAGGCTCCAACAACTCAGCCTGAGCCTAAGGTAGATTCATTAATTCTGAACTTTATGGTTAAAAACAGATCCCTACATCCACTGAATTAAAAGATGCATGACCTTTTTATTTTAGTCTCTGACATAAACCAGACAAAACATATAGGGTCAGAGATAACATCAGAGAGAGCATAATGTTAGAGATTGAACTACCAAATACTGCAAAACGGGAGAATAGAGATTAAATGATGAAAGGGGTCCCTATGTCCTCCAGCAGTCTAAGCCTATAGCAGCATAAATGCAGAAAATACATAGCTCAGGTTAACCTAAGTATTTTGGATGAGAAAAAACATAACATATAATGTTTATACACACCTTCTACTGTTTATAAAAACATTTTATTTTCCGCTTTGTTTTAATATTATTAATTGGGTTCGGATAGATTTGCCATCACCGACAGAGTTTTTTCTCTCCATGCAGCGAGTGAGAAGAAATGTGGTCCCCTCTTTGCCACCTCAGGATATAGAGGGCTCTGGTGACGATACACCGCTGTTCAATGGAACCGGTAAGAGATGAGCTACAAAGAAAGCATAATTTTATTACCCAATGCTGTAATACTTTTTGTTTCTAGTCAGGCACTCTCTCTGTCTCTCTCCACAGAGGCATGTAAGGCCGTACCAGACACAGGACCCTGTTTTGGGATGCATGACCGGTACTACTACAACTCTTCCTCAATGGGCTGTGAGCTGTTCAAGTATGGTGGCTGTTTGGGCAATCAAAACAACTTCAAAACTGAGAGAGAGTGTCTGCAGAGATGTCGCACAGAGGGTGAGGAGGAGATAAAATATTTTCCATAGAATGCAACATTAGCATTGGGCCAATAGGGAGAAAGTGACTGATGAATTATATACGTACCTTAATGATGCTTCAGTCAGGATTCATCTTTTGATTTTTATTTAGCTGTGTGCCGTCTGCCCATGGCTCCTGTTCCCTGCACGGGCCAGCCAGCTATCTGGGCTTTTGACCCCAGCTCTGGAGTCTGCATGCCCTACAAATCGGGCTTCTGTCAGTCCAACGCCAACAAGTTCTACACTAAGTCAGAGTGTGAGGAGTACTGTGGAGTGGTGAGGAACGGTAAGGCAGTCCAGGAAACCTAACAAAGTACATTGCTCAAAAAAATAAAGGGAACAAATAAATAAAAAAATAAATCTTCAATCACATCTAACTTGTGTGGAATTAAACTATCCACTTAGGAAGCAACACTGATTGACAATCAATTTCACAGGTTGTTGTGCAAATGGAATAAACAACAGGTGGAAATTATTGGCAATTAGCAAGAGACTCTCAATTAAGGAGTTGATCTGCAGGTGGGGACCACAGATCACTCCTCAGTACCTATGCTTTCTGGGGGATGTTTTGGTCAGTTTGGAATATCGATGGTTCTTTCACATTCATGGTAGCAAGAGACAGACTCTACGCACAACAACACAAGCGTCTCAGGTAGTGCAGCTCATCCAGGATGGCACACGAAAGTGAGCTGTGGCAAGAGAGTTTGCTGTGTTTATCCGCGTAGTGTCCAGAGACTGGAGGTGCTACCAGGAGAAAGGCCAGTACACCAGAAGATGTGGAGGAGGCCGTAGGAGGGTAAAACCCAGCAGCAGCACCGCTACCTCTGCCTTTGTGCAAGGAGGAACAGAAGGAACACTGCCAGAGCCTTGCAAAATGACCAGCAGCAGACCACAAATGTACATGTGTCTGCACAAACAATTAGAAATTCACTCCTTGAGGATGGTATGAGGGCCCGACATCCACAGGACGCTTAGCATGTGCAAGAGACCACTAGGATTGGCAAATTCACCACTGGCCCCCTGTGCTCCTCACAGGTGAAAGCAGGTTCATACTGAGCATGTGACAGTCTGGAGACAACGCGGAGAGCGATCTGCTGCCTGATACATCCTTCAGCACAATCAGTTTGGTTGTGGGTCATTAACTGTGTGGAGTGGCAATTCTTTGGAGGGCCACACAGCCCACAATGTGTTCGTCAGATGTAGCATGTCTGCCATTAGGTACTGATACGAGATCATCAAACCTCCTTGTAAGAACATATGATGGTTGGCCCTGGGTTCCTCCTAATGCAAGACAATTCTAGACATCATGCAGATGGAGTCTGTGAGCAGTTCCTGTAAGAGAAGGGCATTTAAGCTATTTTTAAGAACATATCATCAAAGTTGGATCAGCCTGTGTCTTTTTCCACTTTCATTTTGTGTGACTCAAAATCCAGGCTTTGGTTGGTTAATATATTTGATTTCCATTGAGGATTTCTCTGTCATTTTGTTGTCAGCACATTCAACTTTGTATGGAACAACATATTCAATTATATTATTTCATTCTTTCAGATCTAGGATGTGTTATGTGTTCCCTGTTGCACATTTTCTATTAGAAAAAGTAGAAAATGTTATTCTCTGAACAGTTTGGCAGAATTTGTATTCTGTAATTACCACCACAACTAAAACCAAGTCAGACTGTAGAGTTTGTATGTCTGTAGAGTCTGTATGTCAAAAGCCTTTTTCAGAATATTGATTTTATTTCTTTTTTGTGCAGATGACCTGCTGATGTCAAACTGAATGAAGCGAGGAAGCTCTGCTGCTCTCCAGAACAAAAAGAAATCAAAAATCAGCATCAAACAAGGTCAAACATTAAAAAAAAACATCTTGGAGAATCAAGACTACTGTTAAGTCGTAAAAGCTGCCAATAAAAAAGTCAACTTTTGTTTTTATTGGTATTTCTGTTTGTCCATGCAGAATTTAAAGATATAGAGTTTAATTCAAATGAGCATTTTATACATGTTTAATAGAGCAAGACATAATGCTGTTTCAAAAAGATAATCAGACATTTAAAAACATGTTTAATTTTGTTCACTTTATATGCTCCCTTGTGTCTTTTGCATTTTGCTACTAGTTCCTTCATTAACCAAAAGTAGTGTTTTTAATCCTTATTTTTATCTAAATAGGATTATATTCTGCTCACAGAAAATGTGGGATTTAGGAGATTTATTTATACTGTTGTTAGGAGGTACTTTTAAACTAATCTAAAGTAGCCTCAGTGGAACAAAATTAAAATATTTGATATGACCATATTAAAACACTGATACAGTGCTAATACTATTAACAACACTAAGTTTTTAACATTTTATCATGTCACAAACTACAAACCTCAGTGTAACTCATTCAGTTTCCTGAATAGTAAATGCAGTCACCTGCGTAAAATTAAATTTCAGTATGAATAAAACTTTTCTGTGAAGATAATAGAACAAAATATTCAAGAACAAGCAGCACCACAAAGAAAAAGAAACAATGTAAGGAGGTAAGGAAAAAAGTTGTGGAGAATTTGGAAGCAAGGTCATTATCCTCAGCTTTGCGGATCTCTCAGGGCGTTGATTAATCTATAGAAATATTTGAACCGATATGATTCATCTTAACTCAGAGGATGAACAAGGAGAGCATTAATCAGATAAGAGGCCTATAGTAACAGTAGTAGGAGCAGCAGAGATCTGCAGGTGTGAGCGTCTGTCTATGGGGCTACAATTAACGGATGACTACTCTTATACTCGTAGGGAAGTCATATTTAAATATCAAATCATTCTGGCTTAAACATGTATATAAATGCACTCTTTATCAGACTATATTGTCCCAAAAGTTAGAAAATTTCTATTTAAAAAAAATCCTGTCTTAAAATCTGTGGGTTTTTTTCGTTATTTTATGGAGGCCAGTTATTTATACATCAGCTTGTACACCTAAATTCAGCCAATCATATATCAACCATCATCTGTCAATCAAATTTTTTCAGTAATAGCATCTTGATTCATATGTTGCAGCTAATATACGCAACGGTTGAAATAAGAAACATTATTTTACTTTACCACTGAGTTCTGTCCCAGTGATCGGGGATGGAGGGCTGTGTCTTCGGCAGGCGTAGATCTAACAGAACTGGCAGCGTTGAGAGGTAAGGGCTCAAACATGTACACCAAACGAAGCTTCTGCCACCCTGGCGTCCTCTTCCACAACAACTTCGTCCCCGCTATCCTCCTCTATAAAAACTGTATGATGGAGGAGACTCATCCACGACATCTGACACAAAACTCTCCTCCTCTTGCATGTTTCCGCTGTCCATAGCGTTCCTTGACAGTGTCGTTTCTAAGTGCCACTGCTACTTGGTCCCAATTAAATTTCTTATTGGGAACCTACTAGCACTAAGTTGCTAACCGGTCAGCAAGATGCTTCCGACAAACCGGCCAGCATCAAACATGCTTGCGAACCTTCCGTCACAATAATCCCGCCCCCTTGATAAACGACCAATCACATTCACTTTATTCACTCGTGCAGAGTTGAGCACCACTCAGGAGAATTCGGAAATGCAACTGTTGGAATAGCCGTTTCCCTATGACTTTGAGGTTTGTGATCATGAACATTTAAAACATTTAAAACCATTTTGCTCTGAGCAAGAACTGCACATCCCGTGTCGTCAGGTTCAATTTGCATGTTTTCTACTCTATAAAGCATCACACTCAACGCAATTTCTGACATTTTGACTTGAAAAAGCTTCCTGGATGGGAAGCGAAATGTCTTCAAACTTGGAAACAAAGTCCAGTGAATTGTTTTTTTACTTTTTCGGAAGGACATCCTGCATCCCCTTTCCATCTGACACCTGACTCTGAGTCTTTGTCATTTACAATCCAACTTTTCTTCATTTTTTTTGTACAAATCTGTGGCCATTTTCTTACTTTTCTTTAAAAAAAAAAAATATATATAATTTTAGATTTCTGTACTCTCTACTGCTTAGTGTGAGAACTATATTTTCGACAGCATCAAGCTGAACTGAACAAAAATCCAGGAACATTTTAGGCCAGCTTTTCTTTTTAGGTCTTACCCAGGAGGTGGCGATATTATTCAAACTAAACATGACCCTCCAGAGTTTCTCAGCAGCCTGTTCTCATGCAGTGACTTTAGTCAGCAAAAGATGAGTCATTGAAAACTGAAAAAGTCACCACTACAAGCTTTCCCTGCAGCAATGGAGCCAGGCTTCCTGTTCTCGGTTCCCAGAGTTCCCGGCTGCTGGCAGTAGAATGCTGGGAATATCCGGAGAGGAAAGGGAAGTGACATCACAGCGTTGACCTTCCGTACCAAGCCGGTTCACCTGGTGCATGCTGCGAAAGAGGTGCCAAACAAGCAAACACACGCATCGATAACTAAAGGAGTCTATTTTGTCTCGCACAGCCCCACACATAGATACATACATGTTCACTCAGAATACTCCTGACATATTTTGTAACTATTAGTTTGTTTTCCAAGAAAGCAGTTAGAGAAAGTCTGAGGTTCCCATGAGAGAGAGGAAGCGATAACATTGATTAGTTCTGCAGAAAACTTTCCGACAGTCTAAACTCACCACAAATCTGACAATAAAATTCCCACCGCAACTTCAGCTGCTTTCTCACTCCAGCAAATACGTCTACTCTTCGCTTGTTGGCAATTATTTTAATTTTACTGTCTTACAGACAGCAGAAATAACCTTTAATTGCTCTGAATTTATCAGCTTACTGCGAATACTGCTGTACAAGTCTGCACCAGCTCTACTAAACCATAAGAAAGTGACCTTTCCCTTAAAGTAACACCCAGAAATGTATATATTAAAACAAATATATGTAGGCCATCATGTATTTTTAAAGGGAACTCACTAAACACTGGTCAGTATTAATGTCCTTCTTTAGAAAGAATTTTAAATGCAATGATAACCTATGAATCATCTTTGAAAACATTGTCTTTTCCAATTACAGACACATTTTTAAAGCCAAAATGTTTTTTAAATGTTTTTGCAGGTTTAAAAAAACAAAGAAGCATGTAATCTCTGAATATCTGGACATTAACATTTTAAGTATTGCTACATCCCCTTCATGACGTTCAGTCTGACACTGGGTGTAACATGAAACTATGAAATAACCCCTTAAGGAGTTGGTGTTCGTAACTAAAATACCATTTATTTTACAATATTGAAAGGCTAGGATACAATGTAAAATATTTAAATGGAGTGAAATTTTAAGCTTCAGGGTCTCCAAGGCCAAAATGAAACCCCCTTAATTATGAGAGCAAAATATCTTTGGCAATAAAAGTACAAAGGCAGAACTCCATGACTGACCACAAATCAGGAGAAAAAGTGTTAGACCAAAAATGGCAGAGAACCCCTACAAGCCTCCACTGTGAGGACAAAAAACATGCTTTCATTTTTCAGTTACCAAATTACAAAGTAGCCACACATCGCTTTTCAAAGTACGTCAAACAAGATCACACCAGATCAAGGCCCAGAGGAACAGAGGGACCTGACACACCTGAAATAAAGCTTTATTTAGTAGCTGATGAGCTGTAACACATCAAACCTGTGGTAGAAGCAAGGTAAACTTGAAACACAAAAAGAGTTAATGCCGCTGTCACACCTTGACGATTTAGACCAGGGTGGGCCTGACGTATGGAAAAGTACGTCCACATAAGGAAATTTTGTCGAGAAATTTTGAGCAAGCTCTGAAATTCCCGATGCATGCCAGCATGTACCATACGTGGGCCATATAGGATACAGATAAGTTATCTGATTGTTGACATACGTTAAGTGTAAGTTACTCATAATTTGTGGTGTTTAACTTATCTAAAACATATGAGTAACTTATGCGTAACTTATCAAGAGCTTATCTCCAACGCATATCAATGTATTTGACGTGTTCCAAAAGACCACTGAAAGTGTTTCTAAATTACAGCTACCTTATAATGGTGCATTGGCAGCATTTTACTATGCTTGGGGGAAACTGTCAGTGAGAAGGTGAGTTTGATGGATCCTCCACCCACGACAGTAACAAGCAGATGCATTGAAGCGATTGAAATAAAATGAAAGACGATCAAAAAAAAAAAACATTTAAAAATTCAATCGTCTGCTTGATTAAAAATTGATGCGAAAATCAATGAGCCCCCATGGATATGTTCCAATTTAAGAAAGATAACGGCATTATCTGCATACATTGCATTACACACATCTGTTCATTCTTTAGGATAATGTATACAAGGCAAGAAAATAATTGACGGGGAAGTTTAGGGTAAAAAGACTTCATTGCATAAACACATTGCTTTCTCGTCCACATATTTTTTCAGCATTTATTTTATTCACAATAAAAGAAATAAAACAAACAAAACAGCATTGAGGAACATTCTAAAATGTATCTTATCTTAAAATCTGGGAAAGATTTTCACCAAACTGACATAGATCTAAGTAGCTCTGCTGAACAAGAAAGATAAATCCTGCAGATGTCTAGGTTTGCAGAATACCGTGACAGAGCTTAAGGGCTGAATACAATTACAGAATGCAATCTATTATGCCAAAAAAAAACTCAACCCCTCTACATTTTATCCTAGTCATTTAAAGACTTTTTCTTTTTATTATTTTTGTTTTTTAATGGGAGTTTTCCTTCTCTTGAACCATGTGCATTTACACAGTACCAAGTCCCAACAGATTTATCTCACTGCACTTTATCATACAAACATGTCCAATTTGTATCAAGGAATCTATAATCAATTTGATGCAATACAGTCAAACCTTATAGATAGACACTGCTGAGTGTCATCACCATAGCTGGGAGTTTAAGTAAATTAATCTTGTTTTCA